TTAAATTTTACATTGTTCCTTTAAAAATCATTCTTCCAACATATGAAACTCTTCGGTTTAAAATAAAAATTATATATTTTGTAAGTTTGGGTCTCGATTGACCTAGGCTGTTTTAGGATTAAAGAAACTTTTGATGTTTCAAAAAGTAAAGGTCAATTGGTCAACATTGATTTACAAAATTTACTGTAATTACGACAATTTTGCAGATACAACAATGAAATTTATTGTTAAGGAGTATGTATAGAAAAAAAGAATGTAGAATTTAATTAAGCATTTTGCTGAAAAGAGGACCTGTGTATCCTGAGACCGTTCTTTTATCCAACATCCATTTACAACCGTGTTCTACTGAAGAGGACACAGGATGCATCGAATACTCCCAATGCACACAAACCTCACAGCGGAATTCCGTGATATATGAGATGTCTGAAAATGCATTTGTTTATAAATCGAAAACATAAAACGATGGAAGTCAGGCAACGTAACATCAGATAATTTAAATTTTAAATAACAAAAAAGGCAAAGGAGATGATTTCATCTTGTAAAATTTTATTTAATTATAATATTATTATTTAAAAAAATATTATTCATGTTTTCATTAATCATGTTAATTAAAATTTAGTTACAGTTTATTGAGTATCTACTATTTTTTCTTCTTTCGACAAAAAAAGAGGAAGCTCCAATATTCAAGTTATATTTATTAAAGATAAAAAAGAGATACAGATTTAATATTCAACAGAAAATTTAATTAATACCAGTATCGGCTGACTATGAATTTACAGCATATTTGCCAGAGGATTTGATTTTTAAATGTTTGTCCTCTTTCTTTTATTTCTTGAAATTGCTGAAAAATGAAGCTGCCTCTTTATTGCTCCAATTTCTTTCACCGCTTATTATGTATCTTGCTTTCTACAACACCAATAATATTTAATATATTGTCAGTGCATTGATGAATTTTTTAAAGTAAAAAAGAAAATGATTTAATTTTTTTTTCCAATACTGCATTTCGACAAATTTTGTATTTTTATTGTAAAAAGATTCTGTAGTGAACAGCTCGCCAACAGATTTTAATTTCTTTTCATTTAGAGTAATTTGAATTTAAATAAAGCTAATCGTACACTTATGTGTCAGCATCCCTAAAAAGGTTAATTTAAAATATTTGTATTAGCGATTTGAAATTGTGACTAACCGGAACAACAAAAGAATAATAAAATAGAATAAAATATAAAGCTAAATAATACTTATGAATATACATGTATATACTATACAGTATGAATACAAATAATTCTGGATGAATATAATTTTCTCGCTTCCTTTAATAAAAATTAGTAGATTTCATATGAATGGAATGGTTCATTAAAAAGTTAATAAATATTACATTTCCATTTCGAATTGATTTAACTCGAACAATGCATGGAAGTTAATCAACGCTTTGAAGATTGCAGATTTCGTGGAATATATGGCATCTGCAATACTATGATCCTTATTATACTTAACAGGAAATTGTGTTGGACAAATTAATAGAATTATGTTTAAAAGTTTTGTTTAACATATGTCGTAAAATTACTCATTTTTTAATTGTGATTAGTATTTAATATGACAAAGTACATAAAAGTAAGCCACCATGATCAAGGGGGCTGTAAGGGGTGCTTCAATCCCTGTTAATTCAAGTGGGGCCCTGTTTGCCAGGGAGCCCCATTTTAAACCTTTCATGTACTATGTCAAAGATTCCAATGTTTAAAATCCATAATAATTTTGCAAATTTTCAACCTAATTGCTATTGCAAGAATAAATCCTCCCTTTTTAAACTTTTTGTAATGGAAAAGAAATTTGAAACAACGGAAAATTTCGTGTCAGAAATTATTTGAACATGAATTTTTAAACATATCTTCAAGTGTTAATATCTCATCTCTATAAATACCAACATTAGTACACTCGTGATCAAATTAGGCTTCCCCAGAGAAAATGATGATGTCCCTGACTCTCCTCCTTCCTGGGAAAAATGACAATGTACCGGAGAAGACCTCATGTAAAATATTAAATTACACAGTATGTAATAATGAGAAATTATATTATTTTGTTCCTAGATAACTTTTTATATTAATATCGTCAAAATTAAGGTTTTGAAAATTCCTGCTTCCCGTTTATTGCCATTTTCCCCGTGGAAGTCTGATTTGATTGCGAATTTACTTTTTGCATCTAGCCACAATTTTATGAGTATTAAAATGCATTTTATTGGATGTTTTTCCTAAATTAACACCTCTTCCTTATACAACTTTAATTTAACACGTATAAACAACTTAAACATAGATGCATAATATATTTAAATTTTTACGCAGCAAATATGACCAAAAACTTTGCATCAATTTCGGAATAAAATATATCATACTATATAATACACCAATTTCAATGAAATATGTTATCAAAGTTTGTTTCTTTAAAATCCGTGTTCCCATACTCTGCATCTGGAGGCTAGAGGGATAGATATGTCCAATATAAGAATTTTGAAAAATTATTAATACAAGAAATTCAGAAAAAAATAAAAATTGGTCTTGATTCAGTGTTTAATAGGAGTGTAGTAATCAAACGTTTTCAAAAATGCACAGAAAATTCCGTAAAAAATGTATTTCGATTGTGAAAGGATTAATTCATATTTGATTTGTAGCTTTCTATTTATTCTTGAATTTTTTTCGTTCTTTCAAATGCATTTTTCTGTTTTAACTACATATGCATGAATTTTGTTCAAACATTTTGTATTACAAGGTAAGAAATTGCATCAAAAAAGAACTTTAAAATGTTTAACATTTTTGGTATAATTTATGTAAGATATAAATTGAAGAAAGTACGATGTAATCTTAAATTTTGTCTTCTTTTTTTACAGGTGTGCGAGAACCTGAAATTAACAGCTCGAGTCGGGTGTGGTCGGATTTTCGAAAGTACAGATCTACGGGATTTCGGAAATGCCGGGTACCCGATACTTATTAGATAGGATCGGGAATTGCTTTAGTCGAATTAAAGTGAATTAGCTACAGTTTTGTAAATTTTGGGAATGCCGGGTCGACCAAAATAATTTTCGACCTGATCCAAATTTCATTTTCAAGTTCTCGCACATCTTTACCTTTTTTCTGTTGAAATGGTTTCGTCTCACTTATCTCATATTTTGTTATACCTTCATTTATATTTCTTTCGAATATTTCTTCCGAATTTTCGTCGTTGACACTTTATATTTATGTTTCTTTACCCATACCCATTTGCATAATGTATAGAAATAAAATAATAGTGCATAATAAAAGATTCTCTGACTGAGCACAACATCTCAGGAAACTACGATCTATAAAACTATCCTGAATATAAAATTTTTCACGAAGAAGAATAAAGATGCCTTCAGAAGCAGCGGAATATCGAAACGTTTTCATTTGTTATTTTTCTCTTTAACACTCAAGAAACTCCATAATATGTACAAACAGAGGCAAAAATAAGTGGACACTGTTAGAAATAGAATATCTCGGTTAAAATTGGACTATACAAATTAATTCACTAAAATATGTATTTTTATCGTTTTAAGAAATTATAACTTTTTGTAGGGCACAAAAACGTGACTAGTTATGTTCTTTTAGATGAAAAGTCGCGATTTTCGGAAATTTTAATTACTTTCAAATGCGTTGATCGATCTCGATGAAATTTTCAGCAAACACATAACTTATTTTAATCTACGAAAGACATATTTTAAATTTTCATCATAGGCTCACATAAAGAAGTTGAAAAATTACCATTCACTATTTTTTTTCACGATTTCAACAAATTGTAATTTTTTAAACCGATAAAAATACATATTTTAGTGAATTAATTTTTATAGCTTCTTAAAAAACCTCAAGGTATTTAGTCAAATTTTAACCGAAGTATTCTATTTTGAACAATGTCCACTTATTTTTGCCTCTGACTGTAGGCTGTAGATGTTTATGTATACAGAATACTGAACTTGCAAAATATTTTCAACAATCAACTGAACAGTTTTCAAACTGTACAGAAAAGACTTTAAACTAACAATAAGTATGTTTTAATGTGTATTGATATAATTGTTTGAAATAATTGAAGGTTTTTAAATGTTACAAAGCAAATTATTTTGTACTTACTAATTCCGTAAAATGATACTTAATAGAAGACAATTTATGGAACTATGTAAATTTTGAAATCCAAAAAAGAATTAAACTTATAAATAAATAATTTAAGATTACTTTACTTTATTTATTTAATAGAATTATTTTCTTAAGCGTTCAAAATAGTGTTTGTAAGCACCTACATACTTACTAACAAAGGAAGTTATACGATTCAAAGATTCTACAAAATTTGAGTTCAACAATAATTATCAAAAAGTTATTATAATTAATTAATTGTTTATTTATTATTATAATTATTTTAATTACTATTTAACTTCATGATAATTACTTCGCTACTGTTGTTTAACCCTTCAATTGAGATCCAAACTTAGAAAGTGTATACAAGCATAATAACCTACAGTTAAATGTATCATTTTTAAACGAAAGAGTTTTATATATTGCAAGAATAATTTTTATAGGAAGTATTTTAAGTGTAAAATTTAGAAAATAAAAATAGTATGAAATACAAAATCAAATTAAATTAAATTAAATTAAATTAAATTAAATTGAAATTAGGACTCTCCTCAGGGTCCGCCGTCAAAGGGTTCATAATTAAAATATTTAATATAAGATCGTACGAGTATATACATATAGTTTCTATTAGGGAAGACTGTAATCAAGGGCTTACGGGTGTGTTTTTAACCTTAGAACAGCTCCATTGCCGAAATAAAAAATGATTCTGTTATTAACATCATTTGAACTAGATTTTTGCTATGTTTCAAATTTTCTTTTAATTTTCCAGCTGCATTATTTTATACGTTTGGTAACATTGATGGATAACCGACATACAGACAATACGCACTTTCATTTTTATACCTTCTTTTGTTATCGAGCAGTAACCATCGCTTTATGCTTTATGTAACCCCATAAAAAGAAATCTAACGGAGTTGAATCCGACGATTTATGTAGGTGGTCACAAAACAGAATCACGTAATTATGGGGTTACATAAAACATAAACCGATGGCTTTTATTCCACAACAAAGGAAGACATGGAAACAAGGATACGTAGGTAGGTACATACTGTTCACATAATCGGTCCTCTTATTCCATTTAATTGAAAGAAAGAAAATAGTAATTATAAAACATTAGGTTATCCATCTCGTATATTATTTGAAATATGACAATCATTTTTTACAATTAAAAGAATTTTATTTAAATAATTTGACAGTCGCAAATTATTACGGTCGTATAATATCAATGATTTTTGAAATTGAATGATTTTTGAAATTGCATATTTCCTTTAGCACTTTAAAATATAGTCAAATAATATCTGACCCATAAGTTTCCGTTATTTTAAATTTCTTTTCTAATACAAAAGCAAAGAATTAAAGCTTATGCTATTTGTGCTTTTACAAAAAAAAATATAACTTTATTAAATAATGTTATTTTATGAAGACTTTTAACATTTACATATACAAATGACATTATACATATTGTCAATTCTAGATAGAATGTGAAATTGTCGTTTTTATATAGAATATGCAATAGGGTTTAACTAATTTTTGCAAAATTATGATATTGGCACTTCTTGCACCAAATCACACAATTTATAAATATCAAGTCACACAGCAAATAAAAATTGGCGTAGAATGTTAAAATGTATAAGAAATGTGTGAATGTTTAAATGTATTTTCCCAAATTCATTCTTGGAAAGCCTGGATCGTAATTCAAACTTATAAAACATTTATCGGGATATTAACCTAAAGTTAAATGTATTATTTTTAAACGAAAGGGTTTCATATATTGGGAGAATAATTTTAAAAGAACAGTGTAAAATTTAGAAAATGTGAAATAAAAAATTCAATTCAATTAAAATTTAACAGTTCTTTTCACAGTCTGTCGTCTAACTAAGGGTTAACACCTTAAATGCTGCCGTGAAAAGGGCCATGTGTACTACTGCGCGCTATAACTGTAATTATTCAAGTTACAATCATTTTGTTTTCCAATCTGAATTTTCCATTTGGTGTGTTACGAAATTAATATAATACTAATGCTACTCAGAATTTTCTTTAATTTCTTTTAATTCAACAATTATATTCAATTTGTTGTGGTGGTACCCGCGGCGTTCAACGTGTTAAAATTTAAATAAAAGATCTTTTTTAAACGATCATAGTAACCTTACACTGATCAGTAAGACATTAAAAATTACAATAAAAATGCATATAAAACTATTGTAATCAAAGCACATATAGATATTTGGATAATTTCTTACTTTTGTCAGAGTTACCAGTATTGCAAGTACCAGCAGTTATTTCAATGAATTGATATCACTCGACACCACCGAACAAAAAACAGAAGAACAGAAACCGAAGGAACCGAAAGAAAACGGAGAACGGCGGAAACGAACTGAAGCCGCGGACGTTCTCCACGTGACTGATGAAGCTAGCTGCACCTCGGCGAAAAGCAAGCCAAACAGAACGCCAACCAACGCGCAAGTCTCATCCTTTCCAATGAAATACAGTAGGTCGCAAAAGTATTCCTACCCCTTCAATTATGTTATTCCTATTAACATTTTCAGACTTTTATTAAATTTTAAAGTTCAACTTGACTTTCAGGCATGCAAAATTATTGATTTCTTTTATATACATATACACTGATAATACTTGGCGAGAAAAATTTAACAATACAAGTTTTAACTTTAAGAATTCATCCATTCAAAAGTTACACATATGTAAACCTGAACGTTTTTCGCATGTTTTGAGGTTAGGATAATTGTCTATTATTTAGTCCTGATCTTTACTTTTTTTTTTTCAATTTTGAGTATATTGAAAAAGGCGACTCAAAACAGTAAAATATGATTTACAAAGGTGTCACAAACAATTAACTAAAAACAAACTTGTCAAGAAAGAGAGTCAAAACTTCATTACTCTCCTCTAAGATGACTGGGAATTCAATTAACTCACTTTCCATCTTATTGCAACAAACTTATTTGAATTTTCCACGAACGCATCAACTCTACATTAAACGTTTCGCGCCTGAGCTGCAGGTGGTGGGAATCTGGGGAATTCTGTGCGTTGCGTACAACATAAAAAACGGAGGGGAAATTTGAGACTGAAACACATTCTCTATTTGCTATTTTTTGTTATTTTAATTTGTTATTATTAAATGTTAAATTAAACCTCTTGTACCTATTTACTGTTTACTTTCTGACACTTCGTTTGTTTATATGGTTAGTTTTAGCTTAAGTTTGAGTCTAGCTGTAATATATAATCAAAAGTACATACTTAAAATTGTTTGCGACACTTTTTCCAATGATATTTCGCTTTCTTAAATAAGACTTTTTAATTAATTGTAGTTTGAAAAACATCAAATTGTACATAATTACCCGAGGTTAGTTTGACGCATATGAGGTTAACCTTATTTAATACGTGCAAAATATATCCAGATGAAAACATTTGAATCATTCCCCTGAAATGAGTGTCACCTATTTACATCCCTTTACACAGCCAACTCTAATACTAGCCATGCTGAACAACGTGGCAACACCGCCCACGTGACAATCGGGAGTCCTATTTTCAAAAACAGAGTCCTGTGCTCGAAATTGTAATTAACGTCTCTTTTAATTAAAAGCTGTAGTAATATACACTATTTTGTGTTAATTATGTATAAACAATACATAAACGTTGCAACTATGGCAAGTAGAAGTGATATGGTAGTATAAAATTGTTATAAATGTGATATATATTTTGTGTACTCTCGAAGTAGTTTGGTGTTGTGAAGCATGATATTTAAAATATTTACAGTGGTTTCAAGAAAATTTAGGTATGAAGCAAAATGAAAGCATCTTTGGATCAAATTGAAACATTTAAGAATTGATAAACGTGTATATAAGTTAATAAAAACCTTGAAACAAGCGAAATTATTGGAACGAAACCAAAGAGGTTATGTGAAGTCCAGAGAGTAGTCGGGAGTCTGACGGCGTTGATTGGCTGAGAGTCCGGGAGGCAGATAGAGTAGGGTAGGTGTTGATATATTCAGACCGGACTCCCGCGGTGTTGCCATTTTTACTTCAGCACGGCTAGTACTAGAGTCGGCTGTGGGTCCTCTTAGAAGAATTTACCGAAGTCAGTCAAAATCAACACAAGACCGAACAATTATTAAAATAACTGTTTGGCAATCTTGCATTTTACAAAGACCGCGATCAGGTATTTTTAAAATTCGATCCTTGTTCCATCTATACAAAAAGTGCTGAAACTACTCGACAACTTACCGATCGATTTTCCGAAACAAGGAAAGATGCGAGCGTTGAGGCTGAGCTTCGAATTCCGCGTCGGTAAAACAGTCAAAGTTTCATTGAAACTTAGGCCACCGACGAGATACTGTTAAAGACTGCCAACCCCTGTGTTAAAGTTCGGCACGCCAAGTGGGCCCAGTCACCGACGAGATACTGTTAAAGACTGCCAACCCCTGTGTTAAAGTGCGGCACGCCAAGCGGGCCCAGTGGGCCTGGGGTACGATCGGTAAATAGGAATGATGGATAATGTAGAATAGTGATATTATCCATTGTACCGCCAAAAAAAACTATTATACCACCAACGAGATGATTTAGCTTTGTCACAGTACAATAATTATCTCGTCGGTGCTGCTTGGAAAACAATTATATTTTACCTTATAATTGGATTACATTTTTATTATAATACAATAATACAATTATTGTAATAATCGATATTAAATAAATATATGAAAAATAAGAATATTTGGTACGTAACATTGTGAAAAGAAATAGAAGAATTAAATAAAAAATAATTCGACAATTACTGTTATATTTATAAAATAATGATTCTTAAACTAAAAATATTATTTAACTGTTAACAGAGATTCGTCTCTTAGCATACTGTTAACAGGTGGGCATTTTTACCTTTTTTACAGGTAGCGGAAGTCGGCATTTTTAACAGAGAATGACATATTAAGCTCTTAGTATATTCCCTTATTCTGCCATGTGGTGAACAGAGTCGAACGTCCCAAACGTTTGAAAGTTCGCGTTCTTGCATACCCCGCGCTGACACTGGCGCATTCAAGGGGGAGCTAAGGGGCTCTAGCATCCCCCACAGAGAAAGGAAGGAGAACAACAGAAAATTTTCCAAAATCTGTTCCTAATTAAATTAGTGTTACTATTTGTCACATATTAATAACACTGTTTTTTGTATTAAAAATATTTTTATTCGTTCAACTTAGCTCCCTCCAAGAACAAATTCTGAGTGCGTCATTGCCCGCACATACCCCATCATGGCCCATCATTGACTGTCCTTTCTTTTTCAAAGTTTTATGACAAGACATTATAACAGAAAACAGACCTCGAATATTCTGAAAGGTCGCAGACTGTGTCAAGCAGTGGACAAATTTGTATATACTATTGTGGTAATTTTAGATATTTATTTTTTCGTGGAATACAAATCTAACACTGAAAATACCGCGACTTAGTTACTTTTATAATTTTTGCTATCAATCGCACCGTGAGTTGCTCGACTCACAATCAAACATGGAATAACGGCTCTTGCTCATTACCGATCATTCGTGGCATTACCACAGCATATTCTGAATAAATAAATAAATATAATTCAAACTATATCGTGTTTGGTATCATTTTAATCAGGAAAATCTCACCAATGCGTTAGTAAAAATTTCATTAAGAAAAAGTTAAAAATAAAAAAGTTTTATCGTTGAATTAGTATTAGTCACACCGATATTACGGTTCGGATCATATTACACGGCTTCCTGGTCGAGCGTCTCGGTTCTCCTAGGGCGATCCCCCCAAGTGGACAGGATAGCGATGTTGCACTTATCCTACCAATCTTTTGTTGCGCTTATCCAGCTTTTACTTACTATTAAATAACAGATTTTATTGAAATACATTTCTCTTCTTTTCGACACCTGTTACTTATTATATTATTATGATTATTATGATTATTACATTATTATTATTATTGATTATATCCTACAGAACCTATGTAATATTTTTCATTCATTTTTATTTCTAAATGATTTCTAAATGAAATTAGAAGAAAATAATTTTTTTTCTAACTTCTTTTCTATTCATCATTTTTTCTAAATGAATATTTATTTACCTTAAAAACACATACTTTACAGTTAGAACTAGAGTTCGTCATTTATTAAAAAAATAATTTCCAATGAACTAAAGAGGGTTATTAAGTTACCTCCTTTAAAATATTTGACGTCTTAAAAAGTATCTCCGAAAGGTTTGTAAAACGAACTTAACTCGAATCACCGAAGAAATAATAATAGCATCGACCAGATAAAATATCATCTCATATCTCATGATACAGTTCAGCACCGAACCTCGTCGTTGGTAAACTCACTGATTCTGGTTCTGTTTCTTACTGCGGTCGCAATATATTCTAGAGGGCGTAAGAAAACGTCGAACTTTTTCGCCGCCGCGAACTCCCATAATGATGGCAGTCTTTAACAGTATCTCATCGGTGGCCCAGTGGGCCTGGGGTACGATCGGTAAATAGGAATGATGGATAATGTAGAATAGTGATATTATCCATTGTACCGCCGAAAAAAACTGTTATACCACCAACGAGATGATTTAGCTTTGTCACAGTACAATAATTATCTCGTCGGTGCTGCTTGGAAAACAATTATATTTTACCTTATAATTGGATTACATTTTTAACGCGCTGACAGAACGCACATGGCCTGCCTCAACCATTCGTTTATTTCAAATTTTCATAAAGCCCATTCCTAGAGGTACCAGTATACTCGTTAGACCTGTCTTGTTGGATTCCACTCCAAAAGCTATTATAAGAACTCCAAACATATGGCACAATGATACAAACCGAGTCGGTATTTAAGCCATTGCAACAAGTGTTACCCAAAATGCTAATATACTTGAAAAAAAGTCACTGTATTGTAGAACCTAGAAAGAAATCACGTAATACAGATATTTTGTTTGTAAATTGAAGAAAATTTACAAGACGACTATTGTTAAAATAAAGCCATTTACGTACTTCATATTTAGCAACACAATAAGTCATAACATGTTGATCACAAGCATGGTATAGAGACGAAAAAAGCATAGTGGCCAAATAGACTAATCCTTCGGTATATAATCCGCGCTTCATAGCTACATATATAGCGGGTATGAAAAAACCATTACTTAAAGTGAGCATCATTGTAGTTATAAGAAGAGAAGACTCTGAATTGGCACTGATTGGCACTAGTAGCGTCAGTGCAGCCCCATCCTCTATATCCTTTATTAATAAAACGTATTAGTATGTTTAAAGAAGTGTATAACTGATAACAATTATTTATAAATATTAATCGAACCTTCAAAACATTTGCACGTTGTATAATAAAGAATATCTCTATGGACTTCTTGACAAATGCCATGATGACTGCATGGATAATTTCCGGAAAACACGCATTGCCTAGTTCGTATATCCAATGATACGAAAATCTCTTCCATTTCACAGCTTACAGGTTTACTAGTTTGTCAATATAATTTCTTTATTAATATCTGATTATCATTTCAATATTGCTCAGTGTATCACCTTACCCATTAAAATGACATGATGCATGTAAAGCAATATACCAAGTATCTGGCTGTGGATACGGTATTAACAAACTTGCATCGTGTTTCTCAAATGAAGATAAATTCATTAACATCCTTGGATCTTCGCATACGATATTACCTATAAATCTATCTGGAACGCGTCCACCTCGGATGCAGAGTATAACTTTAACCAACTGCCTTGTTGCAATCTGAACGATATAAACATTAATTATAGTTCATTTAAATGTAAAGAAGGTTTATTCTTATTGTTTTACCTTATCCATTTCCAAATGTACACTTATCTCAAGTGTACCACTAATATCTACCAATGAATTGTGTATCTAAATCTTCATCTGATACACGAAATTCATTTCTCATAAGATCAACACCACTGTATGATTTATTATATCTGATTTCATCATGATGTAAATGTTTTGTTAAATCCTTCATATGCAATTGAGCTAATGCTTTAGAAAATGAAGGTGCATCTAAATACTGTCTTACAAAAGACTTTTCTGTTATTCTAATTGGACATTCTGAAAATAATAATATTTGATAGAAATGGTTCATGAAACCGAAGTTAATGTTGAGAGAATACCGTAGATAACATTTACCTGAAGTGACAACTTTTACATTTATTTTAATTATGCTGTCCGAAATAATCATCAAATAATAATAACTATCTTCATAAGGAGAAGATTCTGTAAAGGCATATGAATCTAACATAGTAAAATTTCCAATTTCATTTTGTTCAGAATGATTGAAAACAGGTAAAGAGCGTCCTTGCAACGCCATATTTTTAATGCAAGTTTCGTGGATGCCACGAGAAGTATGCACAGTAAAATTACAACCCCAAATATGTACACGAAAATTCCATGTCCCTGATGGAATATATATTCTAGAAAAAGATTTAGTATGTCAGGAATTGTTAACAGTATTAACATAAAGTAAATACAGTAATCATATTCTTTACTTGTAATAGGAAGTAGTTTCTTTTGTTTTTAATGTATATTAGTAACCAATAGGTATATTTTCAATACTGTTGGTCTGTGTTCATATAACTACAGAACCTATACTATAATGGCATTTATGACCAAGCCCCTAAAATGTAAAACATTAATTAATGCAGTGTTTTTATTAAAAAAAATAATAATTTTAGGAATAGGTATGTACCTGCTGTTAAACTTTTTCATCCCAATGAGACAAATATGTCCCAACAAACCAATCTCCAGCTTCTGGTCCATAAACTGGTACAATTGCAGTAGTTTTTGGTTCAAATGTTGTAACTGCAGAAACTACAACTGTATGATTACGCTTGGGATATATATTATTAGGAAATGTATCATTATTTACAGATATCACAGGGTAACTGCCCCATTGTAAATATCTGAAAATTATAATATTACAAATAAATCTTATGTTATAACATCTTGTATTTAAAAGGAAATAATAAAAATGAAATATTTACATATGCACTTTTCTTTGCGGGCAATCTTGCCTATCCATAAATGCTGCAAACTGCCAAGTAGCTCTAAGTACCTCTTTTGGAACCGTATAATGAAACATTGCAATATCCGAATAACTTTTGAATGAATGTAATAATTCTTCTTGGCTTGCTTCCGGCATAGTACATTCCCTGGCTACAAATATATATTTATTGATACAAAAATAATGTTTAAAGAATTCTCATTCAATCTTCATATAATATTAATATCAATATATTATATTCTAATACTTAACTAGTAAAATTACTGCTAAAATATTGATAAAAGGCAATACATAAAAAATTACCTGGAAAGAGAAGCAATATTAAAAAAACATGTAACTGGAGGATCATAAGATATCGCCTTGCGAAATAACATTGGAAGCATGATAATTTTTTTTGACATCACAAAAAAAACGAAAACTCCTTTTGATCTGATGCCTCCATTCACTTCTCATTAATTGTCTATCATTTTCTACATGTTGTGTTAACTGTACATTTTGCACAGGCAAAAAATAACCGCGACTAGTCCGCAATGTTTGCGTATTTAGCCGAACAGTTTACATATATGGGTTTCCTTCGATCAGCTGTAGTCATGTAGTAGACTGCACATAAATAGGAAAGGGTGGAGTGGATACAAGAGATGGTGATTTTACCGGCAGTTCAATGTAAGTAAGTGGTACCGCGATATTTTAAATAAATATCTCTCAATAGAATATTATTCAACATACACTGTGACATAAATATGTAACACGTTTTATCAACATTTAATATTTAACATTTAATATTCAATAAATGGTCATGATTACTGTACAGTTTGTAGTTATCATTTCAGAAGAAAGCTTTGTATAAAAAGAGGAAACTTATAAACAATCCTTCCTATACCTCTTGTATTGTTACAGAAACATAAAAATTATTGGTCAAGTAATCAATTATATTATATTAAAAAATATTTGAAAAATTACATATAGAAGATACCACTGTACAACCCTGAATTCACAGCAAACATACTAAACTTCAATATCCTCTTCTGCAGCTGGCAAAACCATAGTCGTCACTGCTACAGGATTCGTCTTTGATTTCTTACAAAGTAGAATCTCAACTCTCCCTGATATTATATCCTTCAAAAGTGCACGAACGACTAAAGGAATAGGAGTACCACTGGGTAACAGAGGTACATCCATTACTCGTGGTCTCACGTCGGTATTTTCACTTCTGCAAACGATATACAAATCCGTATCAGACAATTCGTCGGATATATTCGTCAACAAGATGCGAATTTGATAATCCGGACCCAATCCTAAAACAGTCGCCTCCATAGTGATTGGACGAGGACCCATATCCTGACCCTCGTTTAAGGACTCAAACGCTTTGTTCGCTACTGTTAATCGCAATCGGAGAAGACCTTGTTGAAAAGTAGAATGGATTTTCTTGGCTTCTGATCTTTCACGAACCGTCTGCTCCATGAACAGTCTCGTCTTTTTTGGTATTAAAAATTTAGACCCATCGTTTAATACCGAGCTAGACATTGTATTATGAACACTGAAATCGGCGGTTCGTTTTAAAATCTTTACGCAAAGACCACCACCTACGGTGACCATCGCCATCGCCCGTTCTTCCTGACCCATACGACCGTACTGTATTAAAAAGCGAATGGGATTAATTAATTTCAGAGATGCTTCTGCAATCTGGTACTTGCAAAAGAGAATAGTCTCACCCTCATCGCAGACACCGGTTCCATAATCTTTAGAGTATCCACATGGTGTTTCCCATCGTACACACGAATACCATACCCAGCAGTACTAACAGCGAGCAAAGAGAGTCCGCTTTGGGGCACTGGTAAGCTCACCGAATCCAAAATAGCACCCGGAACACGGACGCGCCAGAGTTTAATTCCCTACAAAACAACAACAAATTCATCATTCCTTTTATAATAATTTATGTTTTAAAAATTAATCTATGATAGCATACCTTTCTGGAGAAGCCAACCAGAGTGCCATCCATAGCAGCAACCACAACCCCATCGTTACTGAGGGTTGAAATGGACACAGCAGGCGCTGATAATTTTTCCCAAAGATTTACAGGACTACCTCTTCTTATCGCACCTATTTTACCATCTCTTCCAACAATTAAAATCCTACCATCACCGGTCCATAAACCAGTACAAGCGAAGGTGACTGGTGGCCATTTTAACAAGTGTTTGTCCATCACGCAGAACGTTCTGAAATACGTAAATATGTAAGTATATGTCACAAAGAAATTAATTTAGGAAGAAATTTTTACCGAGGATCCAGGACAAGAACTTCTCCAAATTCAGTGCCCAGCACAAGGCACCCACTGGCTGGATTAGTCCACGAGTCCCGTCGTATCACAGAAATCGCGGTCAAAGCGTTATTCTTTATAAGAGGAATTCTTTTATATTGTTCCACGAAGCTCGGTCTTAAATTTGGATCCATGGATAGAAACTTTAAAGTTCGGGGGGAGATGAATCCTGCTCCAAGCTCTTTCAACAACAAGTCCAACTCGTTAGCTAACGTTAGTATGTTTAATTCCTCATCCAATCCTGCCTTGTGCCATATCTGTGAAGAAAAATTATTTCATATTAATAAATTGATCAATCGTCTGACAAGAAGATTATTCATACTTCTCGTTCTTTTGGATGCACGTCGATGAAAGGTAAGGTGTACTTGAAGTATGGTCTCATATTTTTGAAGATGAATACACTGGAACCAACACCCACACCCAAAACAGATGATCGAGGTTCTCCGTTTTCTGTGTAAAAACCGACTAATCCGCAAGGTGCGTTCACCATGTTGTGCTCTGTTACTTGGTCCCCACCTTTGTAAACTCGTATCTGATGGAAATGACAAAGTTATAATAGATTTACCAATGGATTGACAATTATGAAAAGTTATTACTTTAGCAGAATTAGCTGCAAGCGTCCCCAAATCGACGCAAACGAGCCTTGCATCCCCATTGCCGGTAACGTCCAGCATATCAACCCCATTTGGCAATGTATATAATTTGGCTCCTGGTTCCCAAAATGCCTCCAGCCATCGGCTCGTACCGAGACCACTAACGTTGTGTTCGGCTCTAAAAAGTATACGTTAAATTTTTCGCGATGAATATATTTTAAACAACCCCTGTATCTACATGCGGCGACCCTGCCGCCTTAACACATATAATACAATTAAAAAGTATTCATTTTTTTTTTTTACTTACCGTAGCCCATGCATTATTGAATTTTCTTTAAACATTCGATACAAAATATTACTTTTAATTGAAACACATAAGCACTCGTCTAAACGCTCTTCATATACGTTCTATGCACCGTGTTGTAATGCGGTGAAACATAACGTCATATTGTTACTATATTCAACTTTTTCGAGGTATTTTTTGTTGAGAAGTGAACAGCCACGCATTGACAGAATTTTAATCTCTGAATGAAACAACGATCGATCATATCGAAAGATCTGTTTTAAAAATTTGTTGAACGATTCAGTACCGCTGGTTGATTCTTTGTTGTGGACATCTGTATCCATAGTAATGTTCACGTGTACTAAATATCAATAATCGCGGATTGGATTCACTTATCAAGAACAATGTTAAATTACATTGAAATTGAAATATTTTCATAATACGATAATTCTTTTCTCTTTTTTAAACAGAAAGTAAAAATATACAACGTTGTTTTATTCTTCATTTTAATAAATAATAATACCGTTTCTTTTTATGACCAGTGCAAACGTTACTCGTAATTATTATTTGAATTATCGTTGTGTTTCGTTTAATTTGAAACTTGGCTTGACCTATTCGAATGTAAACACAGAAATTACCGTTGATAGTTATTCGTGTTAGGATTCAAGCAGAAGCGTTTCTCGATCATCAAACTCAGGCAAGTGATTTAAAAGAAAATCTTGACAATCGAAGATAGCATTTGATATTTAAAAAATTTACTTGGATAAACTGCGCTTTCTTGTTTTAATTTTCCTCGAGAATAATGCTAACGTCGACGAAACCGAAAACGAAATATGAACAATCAGTGATGCCGTTGACACATCCGAAGAATCATTTCAAACTACCAAGTCGAAAATTATGGGAAGAGGGAAGTAGTAACTCAGCATTGAAAGGCGATCATTGGAAGAAATATAGAGATTCGAATAAATGGGACTTGGTCGAGACTCCGCAGTTCATTGATTTTAGCTCTACAGCAAACATAGAAGATTCTTACTTCGGTGAGATTTTCTAATCATATTTTAACAGAATTAATTATATTCCGAAACTCCTACAGTGTATGCTATAAAATGGACTAATTTCAAAAGAAATAGATCATCGAGATTTTAAGTTCCCTTTATTATTTTATTAGATAAAGTAACTGTGATTGTCAGCACACCAAACGTAAATCTCCAATACGGAAATCTTCCTAACACGTTCGAAGGCGAAAATTCACTGATTGCGTAAGAATTATTATACTCATCAATGTCTTTCAGTAAGAAATTTTTTTTATCAATCACAGAAATATGTTTCATTTGGTTTCAGAAAACTCGATAACTTTCACTTATCCACTATAAAACACGACGTACCCACAGATGAGGTGGAAAACAATGAGAACGACAAGGAAAATAAGGAGGAATATGTGGTTCACAAATCCTCTCTTAAAACGGTATGTCGCATGAAGGAATTAGATTCAGAGCTCGGCAAGATTTGCACTTTTCAGCCGATTTTCAGCTGGCTCCGCCTACCGCAATTCCCCTTGCCGCGACGTTCAGCGCGCGGCCTACGAACCGTTTGAGGCTCAGGAGCGTATCACTCGTGAACATATGCTGGCAATAGCTTTCCACCCCACCCGCGAGGTACTATGTATTGTCGATTGTCGATGCGTTTTTTTTTAGTGGTTGCCAGCATACGTTTACGAGTGATACGCTCCTGACCCTCAAACGGTTTGTCGACTGCGCGCTGAACGTCGCGGCAAGGGGAATAGCGGTAGGCGGAGCCAGCTGAAAATCGGCTGAAAAGTGCAAATCTTGCCGAGCTCTGAATTAGATCAATGAATTGATTTTTAATTATTGGCATGAACGTTTTAGAGAAAGGATAAAAATGAAATATGTAATAAAATAAATAAAACCCAAAAGATAAATGGTTTTACTGCTATAAAGCCATTTACTTTTGACATGCGATATAAATATAATCAACAACGTAAACAAGAACGCGTTAACAAGGTATGAGAATTATAATTTGAAATAAAACTTTTAAATATTTATTAATCAATTATTTATCTGTAGATGTTAGAAGAAGAGAAAAAGGTGAAGGTATTTCGAGCAAACCCTCTTCCAAAATATTTAAAATCTCGACCTCAAAATAACAACAATAATAATAACAATAATGACATTAAACATGGTAAAGTAAATAGTAATACCGAAGAAAAAGATAAGAAAAAAAGTTCCGCTGTAATGAACATGAAGAAAAATACCGATGTAATATATAAAAGTTACTTGCCACTCTGCATGCCTGTTTTAAATTAAACTGCGTTTGAAAATAATTAATAAATAGATTCCTTTGTTTTTAATATAACTCAGGTCTGCAAGAAATTACTGGATGTACCGCACATCGCCAGAAAGAACTTGGAAAAGCCAAAAATACCACATTTACAAACCGCAATTCGGGCACAACTAAGGAAACGTTTCGATGATATCATAAGAGAGAAGGAAAGACAAAATGAACAGCTTAAACAAATGGTAACAGTTTGTTTTTTTAATATTATAATATTATTAGAATTTGCTACATATTTCTAAAATAAAAAAATAGGAAATTGCTGCTATAAAGAAGCAAGAGGAAGAAGAACGTTTATATCTAAGAAAACAAACTGTTCATAAACCACAACCGATTCGCAAATATAAATTGGGCTTGCCAAATGTTGCTAAACGACCATTAACCGACCCTGTGACCCCGATACTATTAAAACGACGTCGCACAGTGGATCGAGTAAAGCAAAATAATTTCAGAGTTGCTTAGAATTTTGTTTTATAGATTTGTAAACTTTTATTAATATCAAGCAAAATAACTAAAATAAAAAATGACGTAATTCTTCAAGGCTATATACATTCAACCCTTTCCCACACATGCTGTACTAAAATTATTAATACATATATTATAAAATTATAAGTAATTATAAAATTATTAGTACCGCCCGGCCCCCTCCCAATGCGTCACCTTGCTCTGACAATCAGAGCTTTCTGCGGGTTCCTAGGTTCATGGTCCTCTGCCCTTTATACGCATCGCCTTCGCTGATTGGACGAATTATGAATAACAGCCAATATGGCGTCAAAGTAACCTATCAAAATACGCTAAAAACCCTCAGCTTTACATACATATAATTTTTGAACAGAAGGATTTCTGAAATTAAAAATTGGATTCTCATCGAATGCTATTAGAATATGTGAAAAAGGTTAATAATTTTGTATGCCCCAAAGTAAAGTTGAGACAATTGCAGATATTTCATTTTAATGTCTATTCTATTTAATAGAATAACAGCCCTATTTCAGCTTTAAAGGAAACTTCTTTTAAAAACACTATAATTTATTCATCAATGAATTATTCTTCATACTGAATTCTTACATTTTCTTTTCATAACGCTAAAATTCTTGTTGTATATCTAATTACTTATTTTTTGAATTCTTTAATTTTTGTTTCTATTTTAGACAAATTAAATTAAAAAATCAAATTTGAACGATAAGTTATAAATTATAGTTATAGAATATCATATCCAGAAATCGGGAAGGACGTATTTATTCTGCAGTTTTACAAAAAAAAAATAATAACAACAAAAAATAATAATACAAATAATGATCACTTTTTCACGTCACTATCAGTGACGAGAAATGAAAATTGGCGTCACAATGAGATTGAAAAGGACGCGGTCTACCCTTGTTTCAGGTAGGCGAGTCGTGCGCTCCGCTAATATGGTCGGTTATCTATACCGCTAGTCTCAAAGCAATACCAGCAGACCTCGTAATGACCCCATTTATACCTGGAGAACTATATTAGTAACCATTTTTGGCCGTTCATATTTTTCAAAAAAAGAATAGAATATCATATCCGGAAATTGGGAAGGACGTATTTATTCTGCAGTTTTACCAAAACAAAAAATAATAGCAACAAAAAATAATGATAGAAATAATGATCTCATGACATATGGGTTGAAAATCGCTATCGTAATTGATAGAACGACGCGTGAAAAAGAAATTCACGCGTCAAGTCTATCGCCTCTTCCAGGCTCGAACGTCCCATTCTCCACGATACATTATATCGTCGTCGACGGTTCGGTCGACGCACACAGATTCAGATATACGAGCTGCAAATGAGCGCGCGGTCGAGTGTAGAAAACGAACGAACTGCGCCCTACAGAATAAACGAGGAACTAAATTTCTGGTCTGTTTTACCTTGTTGACGTCTTTCGCGAATGAACAGTCAACGAAATCGTAGTTTTCAAATTACTTCTTTCTGGAGACTTGTACATCATCCCTTGGGTGCTCGTTTTGTTCTATCCGACCCAAAGAATGGTAGTCTGGTACCCATTTGGAGAAACTATTGGCAGAAATGTTTATATTACGAATAAACTGATGCAGGTGAGTCCGATCCGCCATTTTCTTGACGGTTGACATACATAAATTTCAATATTTTATAATTTTTTGACGATTTGGATAATATAAGGACCAGACTACCATTCTTTAGGGCCTCCTGGACATGTCCCTCAAATTTTTTTACATTCTGTTCAGAAATGACGACGAAAACCGAAAACTCGCGTCTAGGGATTTTTCTAGGGACTGTCGGTAAGGAATTTTTAGGTTAAGTTGTTGGTAAGACTAGTTTGTAAGACGCGCGTGCTTAAAAGTAAGAAGAAGGTATTATTCCTCTCTGTATTTTGAAAATAAGAAAACGTTAAAGCGTGTGCAATAAAGAGTTACATTTAGTGCCTAAGGTGTCTATATTTATTCCTCCTGGGAAAACATACAAAACCACTACATGCCTCGAGAACGAACGCCATCTGCTCTATCCTAGTACAAAAATGTGAAACACTTCGCACTGCAACAGTCTACGGCACGTTGACGGTAACGGAAAATTGCTTCGATACCAACGGCTATATCTCTTTGGTCAGTGTCTCGAGCTCAGTGTTGCCATATCTCTGAAGAGCAATTAGGAGAATTGTGTAACGAGATAAAACGAGATAGAATATGTCAAAGAGATATTTATATTATATTTATATATAATGGGATGAAAGCAGATATATGCTTGTGTGAAGTACGAACACCAATTGCCATGCATATGGAAACAGATGTGGCAACACTGCAAACGTACTATACATGTATTCGTTTCTTCAGTCGATAAGGTAGTTGTGCCATGCATGCTCCTGCGAGGTGTGGTAAGAGAAGAACTGATAAAACAGACACAAACTGTTATACCAACTGTGGAAACCCAACCTCACCTTCATCACCGACACCGACGAAAGACTGTGCCTCGTCGGCACCTTCGTGTAGTTGCAGTCGATAATCTTCGGCAAGTACGATTCCTTTTACAATGTATATACATTTACAAAATCTTTGGAAAGTATACGATCTGTATAAAACTGCATTCCCGATGGCCATGTGTCACGTCATACAGCACAGTAACGCACTGCCACTGAAGCGAGTGTGGCACTGTGTGGCACGATGTGAAAGAATTTGGATCGTGCGAACTTTGTACAAATAGTCATAGCGTATACGTGCGATGCGTTACATATCATTTACAGTGAGATAAGGATTCAGTTGATTCATCCGAGCGTGTACATCGCGTAATCGCAATAAGCCGATTGTTTCTCATTCTTTGTATCAAACTTTGACCCAGAGAGTTACGGCCTCTATTTTTCGAGAAGTAGAAAAAGGAATTATACGGAAGGACACAAGCCACCTCTCGCCCTGTGCCACCTCTCGTTTGTTCTCTCTCGTTTTCTCTTGCAGTCGATCTCTATCTACCAAACGCATCGAAGGCGCTCATCGAAAAAAAGAAACTTGAACGTCGAGCGAGTGACGCTCGGCTAACTAAGGTGAGCAAGATTAGGAAACTGAACTAGATTTTGTTCTCTTGTCACTGGTCCAAGTGAGAAACAATCCCGTCTCTGTTCTTCGAATACAACAGATCATTTCATTCGAAGTTATTTCAATAATATAACTGAAAATACCTGAAGTTTTATTCAATTTAATCAGATTTACGTATCTTCAATTATTCTGATACTATCTAAAACGAACTTATATAAATGAAAAAAGATCAAAGAAAATATAACGAAATTATTATATACTGTACTCTAATCAATACAACTTGGATCAGTGATTACAATATCATCTAAATGCAAATACGCTAACGTGTCTAATCATCGTGTAATTGCATAGAAGATTCCACAATTTAAATCGCGCGGGATTTTACAGTTTTCATTTATATCGCAGTATCTCCTTGTTCAACCAAATACATGAACTATCTATTCAGATAACATTGCAAAAATCACACAATAGTTAATGCTGTGCGTATATAACCCAAATGCGTAATCTACAGAAACATACAATGCATGTTTGCTACTGCAGTTATACTATTTTTGCGCGCGCGCGGTACAATTTGTAAAGCCGTTTAATTTTGGAGTACGATACTTGTTTACCAACCTGAAATTCATTTGGACGGTAACATCGAAACGATATACGTCGGTTATTTGCAATAATAATGTGCTAATTTTACAAATTCAGAATTAAATAATTTCACGATAACGACACAATTTTGGTCAAATTCGTGTCGTCGGTTTTACTTGTTCAACGCTTTCTTAATCTGTGAGAAAGTAAACGCTCTTTAATGCGAACAAAGACGTACGATTTTTGCACCATAGGTGTCCATTGACAGGAAAAAAACACAAATTAACAACGGAAACAGTACAAGACGAACCAGTTCATCTTTTACGATGTAAGCATTCATTAAAAGAAAGAGCTAACATTTGCATACATTGTCACATTGTTCAGAATCCATCGCACGTGTAAAGATGTTGAATGGATACGAATACAATAGAAGAGTTACATGTTTTACTAGTCCAAGTCTGAAAACCACCATTTATAATTTTGAATCACTTCTAATTAGTCATTAGCATAGTCAGGGCCTGAGATTTCGTGGGTCCGAGGCGAGCTTCGAAAAAGGGCCCCTTCACATTTATGATATAAAAAAAAATAGCTCGCATAAAATTTATAAAATTAACATTAAAGCTTGTATAACGAATTTAGATTTATGGAGGCCCTAGGCGGCCGCCTACTTTGCCTAGGGCCGGCCCTGAGCCTAATTAAAATTTTTATCTGATATAGATCAGTCAAAATTTTGGAAGGACTACTGTGTGGTTACGCCGATGGGTGTAACGTAAGCAATGCTTTTGTGACCTTTGTATACGCACATTCGAAATGTATTATTTATCAATGAATATAGAATGTTGTTTTCTATTGTATTCTGGTCAACATTGTTTTACACGAAAATTTCAATAAATTTTTAATTACCAATTCATCGGTACGACGGTGATCGATGACGAAACATACATTTATATAATTGCACGAAAAAAGAAAAATGCAACATAACATGGCACAGTGATTGTGACACATCGCGAAGATACACATTGAATTTTTATGGAAACGGGATTTCATGAGTCAGCTTTTCCATGTTATTCCTCGAGGATAATTTCTAGTTAGATAAGACAATTACGGAAACAAAAAATACTGGCACACCTTACTTTCCTGCAATTATTTTACTTAAAAGAAGCAGTTATCGAATTGCAAAAAATAACGCAATATAATGATTTCAATTCTTAATTTAATTTATTGTGCCAAGATTAATTAGGCATCAAGTGGTTTCAATTTTTTCTTAATTGTTAATTAATTGAAGGTACGTTACTAACTAAGAGAAGAAAAATATTACCGGTGCTTAATAGAGGATCGATGATCGCTCAATTTAACATCTCAATGAAACCCCATAACAGTCTTCATGGTCGTAATCGTTTGCTTAGGCGTAGTCGCGTACTAAATTGAAAACAATTAAGCGTGTGACCGTGCTGTGACGATCACAGTGATAGAAAATTCATGAACCTTTCTCACTATCTTCTTCAATTATACCTTACAGAGAAATTAATTTCTATCCACGATCGATCCTTAAACGCATGTTTTTACCGTACTATACTGTAATTCTAAAAATAGTAGATGTCAGAAAAAGATTTATTTAGAAATTTTAAAGCTATAGTTTGGTCCACTTGCATGATCTTTACATGGTGGTGGTCTTCTTTTCATTGTTGTCTGTCCTGTAATACGGGCTCAAAAGTTGACCATCATATATTTCTTCTTCTGAGAATTTTCTTCCGCTGTAAATCAGTAAACATGTAAGCAGATATTTGCCTTCTCGTATCGTATTCAGTATTTTAAAAAAATATATCAAGAGTCAACGACGGCGCGAACTCTCTGTATGGTCGTATAAAAACCAAAGAACGCTCTATGTTGCCTAAACACTGGGTCTCTCTATGTGACCTAAACACAAATTTCTTATATCTCAATAATTTTACTTCAATTGATACATTGATACGCAATGAAGCAGAATATAAACAATCTTTTCGCTGAAAGGAATGACTGACGAAATGACTCACAAGAGAGTGACGCGTAATAGTTTAGTTAGAAAAGAAACTACATTAATACACATACTTCGATAACAGGATCATCCAATATTCATGAAATCGGCGGTGAACGTAGCATGAATGTTGGAATTTCCAAAACGTTTCAGCGCAGTTCTTTTTCGTATGCGTTTTTTCCTTTAATTAATCATTCTTTTTCAGCTCGAAGGGATGCCATCAACATGGATTTATATAATCGTTAACCTGGTGGTTTATGTGATCGCTTCATCAGAGAATGAACAAACCAAAGCTTTTATACAGTTAACCGAATTCGATTACGAGGATAGTTGTGCGAGTACAGCTGAAGCTGAATGGGCATTCATTAATTCCCCATCGAATGAAACACTGCCGGCGTGGGTAAGTTTCTCGTTGAATAAATTCCATGAAATAGAAAAGAAAAAATAAGTAATAAATTTCTAAATGTAAATTTTCTTCTTACCTTGCAGGAGGAGAAATTGATTTCTTATGCTTCTTTTAAGAATGTACAGAGAAATGAGGTCGCCAATGTTTCAAAAGCTGGTATAAATGATCCATCTTTGCAATACAAATATGATGTAGCTGAAAAAGCTGGTGATGCTTTGTTAGATGGCGAAGATTTTAAAACGGTAAGATGAATTTTCATGAATTTTCCTTAAAGCTTTGGATGGATTGAAAATAATTTGTTATGCTTTATAGCTCATTCATTTTGCTGGAACAGCAGAATTATTGAGATTATCTACAGTTCATGCAGAAGTGTTAAATAATCATACAAGAAAAGGTATTATTAGATTAGTTATTAGGGAGGAACATATGTGCATATAAAATAATAAAAATATTCATATTTTTAGATGTAGAGTATCTTCTATCTCATAGCAATAATGTCGAGACTAAAAAGAATATTTGGACAACTTGGCATCAACAGTTAGCCCCGTTAGTTAAGAATTTTACAACTATACTTCCACTTATTAAAAAAGCTGCCAAAGCAAATGGTTGGTATTCAAAAGAAATTGTACTTTGCGTGTAGTCCATGAACACGTTATTGTTCCTGTTTTAGATGCCAAAGATGTTACATCATATTGGGAGCTCTTAAGTGGTTACAATGATGGTTATAATAAAATTAAGTACGAATGGAGTAAAGTTTCTAATCTTCATAAAAAAATATTGAAATTCGCAATAAATAATCTATCCCAAAAATACAAGATTCCTATGAACGATACAATGCCAGCTTATTTATCTGGTAAGCAGTTTTATTGCAACATACAGATTTATAAAATATGTTTCAATTAAGAATTGTAATTCTCTTGTGAAAGGATCTCTCCAAGGAAACGACTGGACTTCTATATCAGTTGATGTAACACCTTATCCAGATATAATGTATAATATTAAAAAAAATCTCTGGAAAAGGGTAAACAATGATTTCCATCTTTACTCTAATACCACACAAAAGAAATGATACATTAATTAAATTTCATTTTAGAAACTTATTGGAAAATCACTGTACAAAACAGCCTCTAGTATGAGCACACAATTGTTGAACCAAGTTCCACAAGCTGACTTTTGGGATAAAAGTCAATTCAATGCACAGTGTCCACCAAAATTAATTAATTTCTGTGAGGAAGGCAGTATGAGGTACAGATTTATTATAATATAATTTACTAGAAAATTGCTATATATTCAAATGGAAAGTTTTATATTATAGGGTGTTTACTTGCTTTGAGCCTACCATAAGCAACGTTCTTTCTGCTTATAAAAATGTAGGAAAAATTATGTTTAATCAAATGTCTATCGAGTCAATCCCGGTACTCAATACAGCTAATCGGTATTCTGGTAAGAATAAAAATTGTCAAGTGTATCATAAAATTATATTACAGTATTAAAAACTATTATATTTTTCTACAGGTTTGGAGGAAGGTCTGTCAGAATTATTTAGTATTTTAGCAGCAAGTCCTGCTTGGTTAAATTACACCCACCTTATAGACGAATCAACAGATAACGAACAGCGTTTAATTGTATCATTAATGATCACTGCATTGAATATATTACCAAGTCTCGCTTATTACATGGCTGTGGATACGTGGAGAATCAATGCCATTGAAGAAAAGATTACAAATCCTGAAGATTTAGTATCAGCATGGTGGAAGCATAGACAAGAATACGAAGGACTTAATTCCAATGGAACTAACGTACCCACGTTCTTAAATGACGAATACATTACTAGCAACAAGCCATATCTTTCAAAATTAAGTGGTACGCTCCTTGCATTTCAATTCTATGAATATCTAATGGAGTCTACGGAAATTAGATACGATTCAATTGTAAGAAAACAAATGGATGCTAATTTCATAAAAATGATTCAACACGGCGGTGCTGACGATTGGATGAAAGTAATTAACAAATATTTAGAGATAGATGAAATTTCATCGGATTCGCTTTTGTCGTTTTTCTCGCCGCTAGAGGAATTTATTGACGAGCTAGAAAATGACTTTAAATACAAAACAGTTAAGGAATCAGAATTGCAGGAGTTACAAAAGAAGATTATTGCTGAAATGAATGCTCCACCACCCACCACTGCTAGACCTACTACTATTACATCAAAGAGTATAAACATAGATAAAAAACCCACAAATAAAACATCATGGAACAAAGAAAATAACGGAAGAAACGTCATGAACGACGCAGTTTATTCTAATAAAAGTTTAGAGCCTAAATCGCACGTACATATACCTGCGGAAAAAGCAGAAAATCATAACTCAGAGTCAAAAGCAACGACTAAAATTCCTTTTGATCAGTTGCCAGCCGATAGTCTAGACATGGAAGAAGAACAAGATAAACCAAAGATTAATACTAGTAAGGCAGTATGGGCAGTAGGCGCAGTGCTATTAGCGACAATCATTATTTGTACAATTGCGATCTTCGGAAGACAAAGATGTCGTAAAACACCAAAAAATAGACGCTACGTTTAACGATGTTTCAGCATTAAAAAAAATAAATACAAATATTTATTTTTGCATTTACATTAGATAGCCTTGGCGTAAGTAAATTATTGTCATAAAGTCTTTTAATGAAAAAGACATTTACTAATTTGGCGACATCTAGCAATATACATTCCCTGGTGTTAATTGCAAAGTAGACGGAGACTCGATATTAGGGGAGGTAGCAATAAAGAGAAAGAAACGAAAAAATAATAAGTATTAATGCGCGAATGTTATTATGTTTAATTGTGTTTTCTACGTCGAAACTATTTCATTTCAATTAAATGTGTTTAGTCAAATTATAATGTGTTTAAAACATATTTTCTCGCACAAATATAGTACAGATTGTACAATATAATTATTAATTTGAAAATTAGTGAAGAATTATTGTATAACATAGAATTGTCGTAGCATGTATGCCTAAGTACAACAGTTCCTCTATAACAATACCAAACCATAAAAAATGAATTTAAAAATACGCACAAAACAATAATGTATCTTTTACGTTTTCTGTAGAACCCTTAGATAATGTATGTCATTAATTTCTCTGATAGTTTATGCCTATTGTACACATCAATTAAAATAAGGCTTGTACATAATTACTTATACAATAGTAGAGTAACATAGTAAATTACCATCGTGTGTAACTACCATGAAACGTGTCACAATTACTAAAGACGTATTTTTCTAACATTAATATTACTGTGTACGATTTTTGCATACATGTATGTCGTTTATATAAAATGTATTGAAAATTTATATTTTTTATAAAAGTATTTATTTGTACCTTACAAGATAAGATAATAAAGTATTGTTCTGGTACAAAGTTAAAATTTAACAATTTTATACGTATCGAATAATCGAATAAATAAATTTATCTAATTTCTGTGACACTGAGACTCACTGACCACTGTACTAAGCAACAAATAAAATGTTTTGTGTTTTTTGATAATAAACTTACCTCTAAACTTTGAATTATTATAAATAATAATCTTTTATATTTCGTATGTGATACTTACATGGTTTCTGATGAAAGGGAATCCCGAAGTTTCTTACTTATTGTAATTGGTAACAACAATACCCTTGTCTTCCTACACATTTATCTCTATTAACAATAACTTATTTTACACAATTCAACCTAAAAATCGTATTTAGTACACAAATTGTTCTGCACACGAACCGATTTGAACATTACAAGCTAACGTACTGATTGTAATTTTGGAATGCAGGTTGCCTTCATCTACGGACGAAGCTGATTAGTCGATCTTCAAAAATTCAAAGACGCGGTCACTGATTGGTTGTCATATGGCTGGAGTCAAATATGTAACAAAAATTTTAATTATTTTAAATGTACCACTAAATATCAATATTATTCAGTTTATAATATTCAAATTATTATTTTTTTAATATAGATGTTATAAAAATTCGATTTTCTTATCTTGTATTAACTGTGACGATAATTGTTATCTTAGTGTTCGAGATAACGCGGTATTTTCAAATATTTTCTTTGTGTACACTGAATACAAAAATTATTGCATATAAATGTAGATGTTTATATATGTTCACAAAGCTATTTTATTATGAAATAAGTATACCTGTTATGCACATTTTATTGCATAATAAATTTCATTTTAAAAATATCTTTCTAACATGAATTATAGAGCGCTATCGCTTTTATTAGGACGCTTGTTGTTATCGCTTTCATCTGCAGTCAAGTTGCAAGCATAAGGTCACGCAAAGAAATAACCTTTCCAGACACGGATATCGGAGCACAGAAAATCAATATAAGGCGAAGTGGGTTTGCAATCGTGGTAGATTCGTGCACTTCTCTCGAAGGAAAGGTGTGAACAGAAAATCAGTGACATTTACCGTTATCGGTTAATGATTACGCATGCATGAACAATTTTATAGGTTTGACAAGGATATCGTTGAAAAATATTTTGATAAATCGGGAGAAAAAATCATGGATCAGCCGTTCGATCATTGATGCATGGAGAGGGTGCTTAGACATGCGCAGCATAACCTCAAAACTTCAGAGGGTTGGACGTACCACCGACAGTTCCTTATCGTAGTTCCCTTTGCATGGGTTGGAACGACGGTGCTTGGTCGGGGTGTTAGTGCTTAAAATTGCACGCACGCGAAGAGAACTTAAGTGCTAGGAACAGAATCATCCCCTTTCCTCAGAAACGACCAGTCGAATTCAAGAGCATGCGCATTTCATGCTAGACAAGGGTTGTTGCAGTCAGGGAGGGGCTCTCCTCAGCCAGAGTGACTCAGAATATGCATTCCGGAAAGTACATCTTCGTGATTTTTAAGAAGTGACATGCGTATATATCATTACATTTTAATCGTAAAGTGATATAATCGCGAAGTTTCACGCGATGTCATAATTTGTGGCAGTGTTCAGTGTACGTGGATCGGCTGTCAGCTGTCCCTTCACTATGAACGTGAGTACTTTGCTCGCCTCTAATATCGACTCGTTTTCTAGCACCAAGTATACGTGGGCGTATCTCTATTTCCCGTGTACATTAACATAATCACACCAGTACTAGCGCGATACATCATTTGAAACTAGTGAAATACATTCTTTATATACACAATCCTTTATATTTAATGCATTTCCGAAACATAGTTGAACCTAATACGTCATTGACCTCCGTTATACATAAAATCGATGCGAAGGTTACGTCTTACCAAGAGGCTTTACACTTTATACTACATTTTGTACAAATATCTAACTGATGCATATATTGCATCTGAAAAAACATAGATGATTTAAAAACTTTCGCTACATTTCACATTTTATCAATTCGTATATCGTATCATCGTTTTGGAATTGCAAACTATATGTAGAAACAAGCGATAACGATCAATTTAGCTCAAGTGGTGGAAGATAATTGTACCAACTAGACTGATTCATACTTTTCTTATTTAGACGCGAACTCTTAATAAGATCCAGTGACCTTGTTCCTGAAAGCACTGAGAGGTTTTTATTTGCCTGCACCGGAAAAGTAGCTTAAGAATCGTTTCTTGGTTGTCGTCTTTCTTCAAGCTGCATAATTACACTCTGACGCCTTTATTCGCGTGTGTTGAGATTTATATGGGTACAACCGTATGTCTGTTGAAAAAAAGAAAGAACGAAACAAAGCCATGTGGGCTGCGAAAAGAAAAACGTGTTTCGGAATTGCTAAAGGAGAGCCCACATATCTAATGATTTTATCGCGGCTGTCTCTTGTATAATAAATTTTCTATTACGTATGTATTGAAAATTATAAATCTCTGGTAATGAAACTCTTTTTTAGAGAAATTAATAACGCTACTGTAATTCAATAACAAGTTATCGGATTACCATTTTTTTTACCATTGTGTAATAGAGGAACGAGAAGAATTCGCCTGTTAGCGATATTTATCTTAGCTCTCGAGTTAACAAGAGAGAATGCACCGCAATCTTTCAATGATACTGCTTCGCTGTACTTGCGAAAGTTCAAAAATAGGATGGTGTTTTATAACGTGTTGACCACGGAAAGAAATTCAAGAATGTGAATTTCTTCTCACAAAAGTCTTCGATTCAAACTATCATACGATATAAAGAAATTAATCGAATATTAATCTCATCATTTCCATCGTCGCTTCAGTTTAAATATCAAAGGTGAAACTAAATTTCATGAAAACTTGGTGCACTTCAAATGCCACCATATTGCAGAATATATAAAATTCCCTCCTCGTTTTCATTAATGTTACAAATATTGGCAAAGATGCGACATGAAGTGTTAATACCATGATATTTTTCAGGCCTTGACGGCAGGTATTGTCTGCGGCAACGGAGAACGCGTTGGTAAGTTTAATTTTTGCATATGTATATCATTATGATATTTCTTTGAAAGACAAAGCTAGATATGTTTCATTTGATAAAAAATTACCTTTTTGTTTTATAAATGAATATAAAATTTTCAAACTGGGAAGGTTGATAAACTCAATCCTGAAACTATATTTTAGATGATTAATATGTAAAACCAGGTCAAAGATAAAAATTAAAATCCTGTGAATGTTTATTGTAAGCTTGATTGTTATTAATAAATAAAATTTTCAAATCGAAAATGATGCCTCCTTGTTTAATGATCGTGCAGTTGCGCATGGATTTACTGGTCACATGAGAAGTCAACAGCATTATATTTCCTTCTTGCTAATTAATATAGGAGCGATAGCTTATTGTGTTTTGTAAGCATTTTAAAGTGACTGCATTACAGCCCTCTGAAATATCCTTTGTCCGGAATCATTTACTGTATTTTACACAAAGAAAAAGTCTTTAATCCAGTTGAGACAAACGCGATTATTTAGACATCCTGTTTCTTTCTGTTCGCCCCTATAGTTCGCCTTAACCGAATTAATTTTCTATTGATCTTTTGCTGTATTTCGTGAAGTATGGCTTATTAAGTTAGGCCAACAATTGCGCGAGTATTTTTGGCATTGTAATAATTCATGTTATTAAGCGTGTAATAATGCTTATCGATTTGATAAATTGTTTATATTTAGATATTTAATGATATCTCCATAATTTTTAAAAAAATTATCTCATATCTTATTCGTTTTATGATCCGCAATACCTACATAACTTAAACAGATTATAATAAAAGTTGTTAGTTAAATACAGTGATAAACTATACCATAAATTTATTCATAAATAAACAAAACGAAATTTAATTTTTCTTGTTCCATCCGCAAAAGCGAGAAGCATTATCGAGTTATTTTTAAGGTTTAATCCGAGAATCGATTTCTCGGAGTAACACAATTGTAGCGATGACTCGAACTTGCTCCGAATCGAGAGCGATATCTCTAAGCAACTGATGCGTATCGAACACAATTAAATTTTATCTAATTTCTAAACAAAAGAAAGAGATAAACCTGTAAATAATATCATTTATAATAATTAAAACAAAAATTCGTGATATGTGAAATGTTCTTATAAAAATGAACGTTATATCGATCGTAATTTTTTTTTTTTACATGATCTAACCTCTTTTCTATAAACCTATTAGTTAAAAGGTGATCAATTAGGAACGAAGTGAAACCGCGTTTATTACAAACTTTGATATGAAACGCTACGTATGCATTCAATGAGCCACCAGTAGAGCTGCTCTCTATTCTGGCCGAGGCAAAGCGGGTATTTATTAATAGAGATTAAACTTCGCGTCGTGTCGTGCCGTGTGCAAACGCTCTCCCGCGCAGGACACATGCTGTTAGAGCAGTCTGACTCAGACTGCGGTCCAGAAACTGATTCCGCCAAAATAAACGTGGAAAAATCGTGTTAACTACCGATCAACTTGTGCCTGTAATCACCAAACGGATTAAGTTATCTACCTGGAGTGTTATTAGAAGACAAGTGTTATCATACAAATACGTATTCGCGAGTTTCCTTGCGATTGCATTTGGTGTTCCGCGAGTGAATGAACCATTTCGAAAGTAATGAGTTCGTGAACCATCAAGCGAACATCCGGTGCACTGATGACATTTTCGTAAATTCTGTGTTTGTTCAGATTTTTGTTAGAAATTGCATAGGTTTTCCTTCTTTCGATCGACGAACACTATTATATGCTTTGTGTGTCGACTTAGGTGATATGTCACATTTTTAACACAATATCTGGTTAGAAATATAGTTCTAGATTTATAGAGTATTGGTCTTAATTCGTAAAAAACATTTACGTATTCCTTGTTGCAAGCTTCTGTGGTATAATGAGTCGTGTTTATTACTTAGCGCGATGAACCACATTGTGCGTCGTTTACTATGACACTAATCATTCGGCATTATCGATACTCAGTAGACTATCGATAGGTAAACAAGTTCCGTATTTACGTTCGTCGAATGTATGTACTATATACGTACGCGCAGTTTCTAGTACAATAGAATTTACTAATATTTCATTGTATACTTCGATAGTACACATTTTTTTAATATTAAAACTCAGCATTAAAATATAATTGCTTTTAATAATTAATTAATTAGTTGATACTCAAATCAGTATTAACTTAACCTTTCTGGTATTGCGCTGTCGATAACACATTGTAATTTAATTCATTAGTACAAAAAACTGTTACTTAATGATATTTTTTTTTTATATAGCAGATACTCTACTAACCCACAGACACTGTTAATGTAATTATCGATGTTGTGACTCAACGTTCCGATAGTTTTTTTATCTTTAGCTCGTATTTCAAAGAATTAATCGGTTTGACGAACCCTCGTTATCTCAAATGTTCGATTAACTCGGAACAATTGCTTCCCCACTTGTTGTAATTTAGGCAGTTTAACGCGTGTGCTGACGTAATGACTATTATTACTTATTGCCGGGTAGAACATTAGACCAATGCCAAAAGCGTGTTTATAACTATTTCCTTTTCGCTATACTTTTCTTGTCGGTAAAAACGAAAACGTGGGTTCATCTATGATAACGTGCAAAACAAAATGGTGTGTTTTAAACAAAGGTACGTTTGAAAGGTGTCATCGGTTGGAGTACAGAAGAGTAATCGACGCTGTTTCGTTCGTCAAAGTGTAAACGTCTTTCATGTAGGAAAAAATGTTGAAAGACTAAAATGTCGCGTCTGTGATAGACGTTTGAAGTGGTAAATGCACGGTGAACTGGAATAATGAATAGTGAACATAGTAAAAGAACGGACAAGCGGAGGTACAGTGGTCTCGCATTTGGATAATTAATAAAACATTGGATAATTTCTTATACATATGCTACTATAGTACTGTGCTGTTATATGCTGTTACGTTTGTGAATCTTAAAGCGTTACTATTATGCTGTAACGTGATAGATTAAAAACAATACTGTACATTGACAAATGATGATAGTGCTTTTGCTGTGCGTCATCATGAAAATAGCTGAATTCTCTGTGGGTCGTATGAGCCCACCATTTCAAGCCCCTGCACGACCGCCACATCTTTATGGTAAATGCAAGAGGCCGGAACGAAAGTATTACCGACGACCCAATGAGAAGTGCAATTGTTTACTGTTTAATCGTAAGGATACAAAACAAATATATTTCTACTTTCACTGTAGAGTATAAATAATTTAAGTACGCGATTGATCAATTTAGATGAAAACGAAAGTTATCCGCAGTAATTAATTTAGCTCAGTCGATAAAACAATGGTGGCAATAAACGAAAAAGTTATGGTATCGAATCGCAATTGTTAAGATTTCACTTTTCTTTCAACAAATCATACGTTTCAGTTTCTCCGTCTATACACATGGATACCCTTCACTAATTTACAATCACTCGTAATCGGATTCATTATTAGCATCATAAAGGAGTCTGCATATTATCTCGTCCAAGGCTGTGCGTGATTCTTAACTATAACTAATTAACGTACGGTTGAAAACGTGGCTAAATAAGAATAGTTCGAATAAAATTGTAACATCATAAAAAATGTATAAGCGAAAAGAAATGATTCCTAATTTAAAACTCTTCTACAGCCAAGAGTAGTGGTATTGTGCCCTACTATTTTCGGGTAGCAACTCCATGTGGGAGTACTTTACATATGCTTACTCGAGAAATAAATACTGTGACATCTGGTGAAACGTTTAAATCTCTGATACGGTGACAAATGATGATTCACGATATATTTTCGTGTGAAACAATTGATTTAAAGTCAATCAAAGATTAACGTAATTGCTATCTCAAAATGGAAGAAACCAAAGTTACTTTTAGATTTCAACACGAACGTCAATTCGTGTCAAATAAAATGGAAGATAAAAGTATTAAGTTTTTTCAACTGGATACCCGTGGTAGTTAAATTTATATCCGGTTAAAAAAATTGCACATACGAGCCAAATGGCAAAACCGATCTTTGGCTGAAATTATAGGAGGATTATATTTCGTTGCTTCGCGCGTTAAATTTTCGTCGAGTCGCAAAATTTCCCTCTCGAATTTCTTCCTCCTCTTTCGTTATTTCTCCTGCGACTTTGCTAAAATTATCCAATGCCCTCGACATTGCAGACAAAGCACCGTGAAGGATTTTTTCCGTTCGTGTAATAATTTTCAACAATATTGTAATTTGTAACGAGAATCTTGTTCATCTTAAAATGTTAATACTGTGTCTCAAAATAGCTAAAATTTTGCATGGGATTAAGAAATATTAAACACTGGATAGTGCCAAGACCTTGTACTATTGAGATATTTCAGTAGCTCGGTTTTTGTATTACTCTATTTAACGAAAGGCAAAGAATTACAGAAAACAGAATGTTTTTAGTAAATGACAAAAGAAATCTAGCGTTTCGTATCGTAACCTTAATTGAAGCATGTTGTATCTGATTTCCTTTTGCCCACCCTTTACGCTAGATTGGTAATGCTCATGCGCCGCATGAACAATCATGCTCCATAGCGCAGTTAAAATGAATTCCTAAGTATGAGTGACGGGCGGGCTGTCGCCATATGGTCGCGGGCATGAGTGTTTTCGGATAACATTTATTGAATGTAAATATTTTCTGTAGAACAAAACTCAAACGACCCTGGCGATGCGATGGAAAAAGATTTTTCGAGGTACGATTAGTAACGCGCATTCTAAAGCTCTTTTTTTTTAAGTTATATTGTACTTTTAATTCATTTATCCTGTACGTTTCAGAAGAATTAACGTCATCTCAATCTTTCTAACAACTTACATAGTCATCAACTATATAAATGAACTTCTGCACTATAACGATGTTTAAAATTACTTCTTACATAAAAAATTTAAATTTAAAATTAAATTTAAAAATTAATTAATTATCTCTGTAAACTATTTTGTAGTAAATTTTCTTCAGATGTTTTGTCTTATTACGAAGCAATGTTTACAATTGATAATCATCAATCATTTTATATATATATAGGTGTATATTTCAATTGAATTATACGTGACTATAGATTTCCTTATACCCGAATTAAATGATCCAAACTTTCAGAAAAAGCTACTTAAGTTGTTTCTAAGTTACATGAGTTTTCCAGATCATTATCAATTGCTCAATCTAAGTTGATACGTACCAATCGATTAATTATTTATTACGTGACAACTAACCTTAAAACACGCCCTCTTAAGAGTGTAGTGATGACGCGCAGCCTTGATCATCCCCGATACGGAACATGGGTTTACCTGTTTAAATACATTCGCCATAACCTCAGCCTGACGTCATTGGCTGACACTTCTTTATTGTGAACGTTCTACGGTGCACGAAAAAGAGAAGAGTACCGACATGCTTATCAGTGCCTCATTGATGATTTTATCATAACCAATCCAGTGAATCCTCTTCTATATAGTATTATAGAAAATGTGATTCAGTAGTTGGTACTGTGATGTTGCTGTATGTGCGCGGTATGTCGATGGAATAGTTGTTACGTATAATCACTGTATAATATAGAAAAATATAAGTTTGCGTGTCATTTTATGTAATCTCCATAACACGCAAGTCACGTTTTTGTAAAATTTCAATACAGAGTAGCCTGACATGTGCTGTAATCAAACTATAAATGACATAAATACATTCAACTATGATCAAGTCACATAATTTTTACTAGAAGACACTTTATATGGTGCAGAATTTATGATTAGCAAGAAACATTTTTTATACATGAGATATGGGTCTGCTTCTCATCATTTATTTTTATTAATACTATGCGAATTGTCTTATTAATAGTATATAATGTATTTTAGGTGCAGACAAAGGGGCTGCAGTGATGGAAGATCCACAAACACCAGGATCTGATTGCAATTCCAATCCTGCAACAGATTCTATCCAACATGATTTGATTAGTTCTGAATTTGTGCAGGACAATGTGGAATATCAATGGTTCATTGATTATGGGTAACTATTTGATCAGTTGTAGCATAACTTATAATTATAAGTACTTAATTGTATATAAAATATCTCAGCTACAGAGATGGAGGACTTCATGTTCATCCAAGCGTATTGTCCTCCCTCTCTGCTTCATATACTCGTGAAGATTTGGGCTATTATGATGATCTTGCCCGTAACCTGGATGCTAATTTGGCAGAAATTGATATGGAGAGCTTTCGTACAGCAGACATTCATACTTTGCTTACTGCATTGCCTGTCATGTGTACAGATCCAGTTCAGCATTCAGAGGTAATTATTATATAGATTATTAGAGATATATCATTCATTTTGTAATTTATTATTGTAACAAGTATCAAAGTAATTTTATCAATTTCATAATTTGCCTTCCTGCAAGAATTATTTTTATTGTGGATAGTTTGCAAGCAAATATATTTTGTAAAATTCTTGGTTGCAAGAACTAATATCTTGTAGAGCTATTGTCATTATGAAATAAATATTGTATAAATGATATTTTGTTTGTAAATGTTATTTTTTATACAGTAAATGGTTTTAATTACAAGAGCATAAAAAATTCCCTGTTTGCTACTGTTCTTGAAAGTAATTTTTTCTAAATGCACTATGTATTCCATTATCACGACAGTTTAACTATCAAAGGGAACGATATGCCAGTATATCTGGATCTGTCATGGAAAAACTTGACATCGGTTCATCTATCAGCCCTCATACCAGCAGCCAGGTATGAAAATGGCTGAAAATGTTAACTTTTTCTCCTGTGTTAAAAAACTGAAACACTTACTGACATAAATTTTGCTTAACATAATAATGAAAGACAATTTGCTTGCAATTCCTCTGCATGGTTAATGAAAAAAAAAAAATTAATTTAATTGCATAACAAACATAAAACGTGTTGTATACATTGAAATTAATAAAATAAAGTTTGTCATTTAACAAAGGCATGGAAACAAGCTTTGCTAGTTTTACAAAATGCATGATACTTAATTTTAAGTTTTACGGAATAATAATAATACATATATCTTAAATCAAAGGGAGAAGATTCAGCCTGTTCAACAACAGATACAATTTCTATATGCAAATCATCATTGCTTTTTTCCCCTCTGAAAGAGACACCCGTACTACCACCGGGAGGTAGTTACAGTGTTGACTCTCTGGACTGCGAGGACATGCTGCTCACGTGTCAAACAAACAATAAAGACAATTATACTATTGCTTTTGAGGGTAGTATCACCATGTATTCAGATGGTTCTCAAGATTTTGAAAATCAAGGTATAAAAGTAGCCAAGTTCTGATTTACACGATTAACAGATAAATATAATTATAGTACTTTTCTTTGTTACAGAAAAGCAAAAGACTTATGAAACAGGAGAACCATATTATAATCGGAATACCGATCTGAAAAATGTGTTGGACGTATCAATGGCATGTTCTGATTCTAAAATATATACAACATGGAGCAATTTGAAACATTCTTCTATGAACAAAATCATGACTCGTCATCCTTCAGGCAATAATAATACAATTCCAGAATTTTTGCACGGCGTTGAAAATATAATATCTGGAACAACTAAAAGGAGTCAGAGTCTGCCTGATCTAACACAGGCTACGCAATTACAACACATTAATATGCCTCTCAATTTTTCTGTAAGTTTTAGAGCAATTGTATATTCAGAAATTCATACATTTTTTATTAAGATACATATTTTTCAACAGGTTGATTCTGCAGAATCAAATAATCATGCACAACAATTACATAGTTCGGGATCTGTAATGAGTCGGTCTATAAACGAAGAAAGTTCAGACAATGGGGAACATAATGCAGCAGGAAAGAAATTACAGAATTTAAGTCTCGTCAAATTATTTATGAAACAAAAGAGTATGAGCGCCGAAGGAATGAGTCTTACATTGGATCAGTCAGACTCTGTTAGTGATAATGGATGGCCTACGAGCAACAGTGCTAGCGATAGTGGTACTAATACAAATACACAAATACAACGGCAAGATGTAAAGGATACGACTAAACGTCAAGTTCCAGAAAGCGATTTTTCTATTAATTGGGTTAAAGGTGATCTTTATAATAATCAAGAATTAGAGAATCAAAAGGATAATTTAAATAACATTCCAAAACACTCGTCAATGATAAGCGAGCAAAAGGATGAGATGTCATCAGCGTCTGTGGAAGAATTATCAGAAAGTATGTCTAAATCGGATTTAACGCACGATAACGATAATGATCAAAACGACTTCGATGTTGCTTGTGAACATCAGCAAAAAACAGCGTGGATTAAATCTGTGGAGAAAAAGTATCCGATTTGTAAAACAACTGGGATTCAAGCAATAGCTGAAACGGGCGATAATGCTGTTCAAACATCTTTAATATATACACCGCCTACGACAGAAAAAGAAAATCCTTCTTTAAGAGAAACGATCGTTAACAAAAAGCCGGTTTATGTTGTATATCCGAATTACGCATTGCCCGATTTATCGTTTCTCAATATTAAAGATTCAAAGTTGGACAACGTTGCGTTAAAACCGCAGGGCTTTGGAAAGAACAAAGTCAGTTGGAAACATACTGGTAGATCTGGTAGACCGTTCTCCTGCAATGACATAGACGCGTTACGTCAACGTGGATTTTCACACGTTAAAGACTGGGAGTCATTGACATTCCTTTTGCCTACCGAGTACAAGAAAATTTTGCACGATGTACCAGAAGTTTCAAGGTACATCAATATTAACGAAGAGGTTAAAAAGCCTCTTTTCTGTTTATCACCTCCGATGCGTCACAAAGCTCGACCTATAAGTGAAATAATACCAAATAATTCATCTTCTACTAGTAGCACCGCAACGCAGCCATCGTCTGGATATCGTGGATCGTCTACAATATTAACTGATTCTTCAACAAATCAACAAACATTAAATAACGCAACTAATCCACTATATCTTTACCGTTATGATAGTATTAGCTCCGAGGCCAGTTTAGTAGGTAACGATAAAAAAATACATAGGCAAATTAATAAAGCAAAAACGTCCTGCCCGTCTTTACCGAAACGATCGATCTCGTTGCCACACGGAGATCGTGAGTCTGAGTTTTCTAATGGAAAAGTGCCACCAAGACCACCTTTACCCAGAAGTATTTTAAGAAAAAGTAAGGTTCCTGCTAGTAAAAGATACAGCATGTTTGAAATGGGAGATGTAGAAGAAATAGAAGATCAATCGCCTGAAGTAAATAAAAGAATGTCTTTGCAAGAACCGTATTACATGAATAATGATTTACCATTAGCGTGTCGAGGAAGAATTGTCGACTCAGAAAAGGATGTTGATGAAACAGAAGAGAGATACCATACAGGTAAATATTTATTATTATTCTACTATTAAATTATTATTATTTCATATGCTGTTGTTTATACTTTAGAAAGAATAAATGAAGTGGCTAACACAGGGGACGTAGAGACTGAAAATTTTGAACATAATGAAGATGATGTTAGACAATTGGAAGAATTTTTGAAACGTAGTGGTTTTTCGTCACAAAGTAGTGACGGTGATACAGAAAATCCCGATGTAAAACTAAGATCATACGTACGAAAATTTTTATCTCTCAAAATGAATAAAGATATTACCAAAGCTACTGATATGATAGAATCACAGAAAAAGACTGTCAGTTTTGCCGTGCACCAAAGAAAAAAATGTTTAGACAATAAGGTAATTTTTTGATATTGAATGTTGTACAGTACCAAGCATAGTAGACTTCCACGGGTTCCGCGGTTCCTAGCCCTCGCCGCGTCGTAAACTTCCCCTTCTCTAGATCCCACCTTTTCCCTTCGGAGCCCCAGAGGTGAATGACTATAGCCGAAGAATAGAGGTCCCTGGCTCCCCACTACTTGCGCATAAACGTTTGCGCGGGAAAATTTGAATTGATATTTACATTATTATTCGTACTTTTCAGTTATATACTAAATTTTATAACATATAATAATTAAAAATTATATTATTTTTTTTCTAAATCACTTTTAATATCAATATCGTTAAAATCAAGGTTTTGTAAATGTCCGCTTTCTATGGAAGCCTATTGTGTTCGATACTGTACATATGTATATATTTAATATGGATTTAAAAAATGTCTATTTTTCAGACTAATAATCTAAATACCGTTACAAATGAACAAAGTAAAGAACCTGCACTTGTAGAAGAAAGGAGGGATACGAGTCCTGATAGTAAATTACTGGATTTAGATGAAAAAAGAAGTAAATATATTATAATTCTTGCATTTCTTTTTTTAGAAACATATATTATATATAAATTAATTTTCAGAAATGATATTGTCTGCAAACAAAGCAGTAGATCTATTGTTGAAATATTGGAATAGCGAATCAACTCATAGTAGATCGAATTACAGTGACAAAAATGAATGTGCTCAAATTTGTCTTAGTAATTTATGTCCAGCTCTATATGCTATCATGTCAGATGAATTAAAACCACATTTAAATTCTACATTCGGACCAATAACAAATAGTGTTTGGCAAGTGGTTGAAGCATCTTCTCAGCAAGGTCCTCTTACCAAAACATTGAATGAATTAGTACAAAAAATTAATGGAGAAGATGTTATTACGGAAGGAATGTTAAAGTTTCATGCATTTGTATTCGGTTTGTTAAAGTAAGTTGATACAATTTCAAAAATAATTCCACGTATATTGTATAATCATTCTATAATTAAATTGATGTCTTTTGCAGTTTAAGAGCTTTAGATGCATGGTTTGCATACCTATGTACCAGAGAGTCTATCCTCAGGAAACATTATAATAGTAACAGTTTATTCGTCGCAGCTTTAGCCAATTCAAATGCACGAGAAGTTGTCGATGCTCTCTTATACATTCTAAATCCCCTTGCATTTTGCCCATTTCAGCTTGATCTTCTATATCAGTATCGTCAACTTCATAATAGTTTTGGTAATTTAAATAATCATAACGTAAATGTAAGTATTGGAATACGGTTTTATACACGCATTATTTATTTTCATAGGCTTCGTTAATAATGTTTAAAACCCAATGATGATTTTGCAGGCTGTAAACTTTAGAAATGTCGATCGGTCTCCAAAAGAACATCATTTTGATAAAACTGACACTTGTGCAATGGTTTCTAGTCCAAGAAAAATACGTCCAAGATCCTGTGTCGCCTATGGTAACTACGACGATAAATCTGGAGATATGCATAAGCCCGATATGGAAATTGTGAAGAAACGTTTGAGCAATCCTATAGGTTCAAAAGTATTTCGCGCTCTCGACAAACTGGCTTCTGAAGATTCTGAAGACTATACCGATAGTTTAGAACATTCACCGCTGAATAGAGCGTCGAACAGACATCCTGTATCTACGAAACCTCATGGTCAGGATAAAATAGATGACGATGATAACATGCCTGGTGAAGCGAAATTTAGGAAACTTCAAGAAAAGTGGGAATTGATGGTTGGAAAAGAGGAGTCAAAGAATCAACCAGCAATGTCATCACCTTTGTCACCTACGCGAACACCAACGAGTTTAGGAAAATCTAAAATTCCTAGGCTTCTTACTTCGCCGGTAAAACAATCGAACGCTATATCGGGACCTTCCAAGAACACAAAATCTCCTGTTTCGGGAATTCCATCTTTAAAGAAACCTGTCATGCTTCCGATGACGAAAACCACGCCAAAGAAACCTGTCGAGGTAAAGAGTAAAGATGTAACTAAACGTACTAGCAGAGTGGATCAGGAAGTTGTAGGGACAACACGAATTCATTTAACACGACCTAGTTCTTTACCTTACAAATCTTACGGGGTTATGTCTAAAGAGAAAAATTTAGTATCTCCACAAAGACGGGCAGCATCTACATCTTTACCACGACCAACCACCGCTACTACCACTACAAGAAATACTACAAAAAAACGGCTTAAGTATGTAAAAAATAAAGTATTAGTAGTGAGATATACATTTCATTAATAACAAAGTTAATTTCTAATTTTATATTATAAAATTATGTTCTGTACTTAGTGGCATACAGCTAGAGCTTAGCAATATTATTTATAATTTTTACTGCATCTTATATTTTTTGTTCTTAGGTGTAGAGCTTAATCTTTCGTTGTTTTTTCTGTTTTCTTTTTATAGATTAATTAAATAACAGTTCGCACATCTCGATTCCAGAGAGGTTCGTACACTTACACATAGAATGCGATCTGAAAATGGGCATCTTGCATTTGGAGAAGGTGAGAAACTGAAGGTACTTTTAGAAGTAAATAGTAAATGGTTGTTATGTGCAAGAGGTGATGCAAAAGGTTTGGTTCCGCGGATGTGTGTGCACTATATTCAAACTTAGCCGAACGTTTCACATCAGTAAATGAAAAAGAATAATTTAAAACAAGTGGAACAAAGTTATAAAACTTCAAATGCCACGCTGAAGACGTTCCGATGAAATCGAAGAAAAATAATGTACAGTGTATCAAAGGAAAAGTATAGAATTGTTTTTAAAGTATGATACAGTAATTGTTATATGATTCATAATTGTTTGAATTGCTTCATTTATATCAAGTTGCGATAGTATTATCACTCATCTATTGTCATTGATAAAGAAAGTAGATATCGCTAGTCATAGGCTTTCAAACCAGGTTATATTTAATTAATTGAACATATACCTATTTATAACCAGAATGTACATATATACAGTAAAATATGACATAATTATGATGGATAAAGACGACAATGACATGTAATAACTTATAATATTATGAATGTAACTGTGATCATAGTGTATAGGTAAGTTTATTAATGCAAATGTGCGATACCGTTGAATTTTTATTTTTAACGTTGTAACTTATATTTTATTCGTATCTATTCCGTACTTCGCACGTTTAATGAGTATCTCATTTAGTTTTACTTGATGTGTAAATTATTGTATCTGCGCGCTTGTGGTTCGCAAAAATCACATTTTTTTACTTGCTTCATGTATTCTTTAGTATGCCGAAGCATACAATGTAATCAAATAAAATCTGAAATTGTAATTGTATCCCTGTATATTTCCTCGTATAATATTCCCTGTAAGGCATCTTATTTATTTAGAATATGATGGTAGTGTAAATAAATATAAATAATAAATATGAAACAAGCAAATTACAAAACAATGTTCTGCATCGTTTAAAGTTACTAAATTTGTCAAGCTTTAAACACATATCAAAATGATATCAAGTTAATAAATTCATTATATAACTATACATAAAAAAGTGTGGCTTTATACGTATTTGATACGTTTGTATATATAAATAAAATGTCCACGTTTATTAAATACGCTTTTTTTTTTCTTTTAATATGTTCCCATTTCTCGTAAACTTTGGTAAACCAATTTAAGCCGTCTCGCTTACTACAATGTTTATTACTTTATGTGCCTTTAACTATGCAGATTATGTTATATATTACATTATTGACAAAATAAACTGTTATAAAACAGTTGTAATTAGTTTGACAAATGATCATTTATCACTCCTAATTAATAAAACAAAAACGAAATTATCTACATGCTTAGATTACAAAATGTTATAGTATTTTTTTCCAAGCACCGATCTTATTCTTTTTTTTTTATTCCCTCTTCTATAATATTAATGTCTATAATCGATACCATGATCGTTTCATATTCTGAGGAACTTTTTCTATAACCGACATTCCTTTTATACAATGCTATGAAAAAGATGATGTTCCATAATTAATGGATTTTATTAATATTAAGTGTGAAAGTAATGCTTTCCACATTGGTGTGATATAAAAATTGCATCAAGCTATCATTGCAAAAATTTGTTGCTAAGTAATATGATTTTAAAAACAGTTACATCCAATATGTGTAGGAACATTCTATTGCTATGAATTATATTACTTTTTAAATGATAATTAAGAAATTACTTTGTTTTTTTTTTTTTTTTTTTTAATGATCTTACATCTAAGGTATATTTCGCTCAAATCTTATTTACAGTTTTCTTATTTCAGACCAGATGCAGATACGAGACATGCCTCATTAGTCTGTTATGATACAATGTGATACAAGCGAAATACATAATAAACAAAGTTTTACAAAAAATTACCGTGTAATGAGTTGTTCAAAATTGTATATCAGTAATAACAACAACAGTACCAGAAACAGACAATGCGATTAAATGACATGTATGTCACGTATGATATGAAACTGATTACGGTATCGGAAATATTTTGATACTTTAACGCTAAATTACAAAAGATGCTCGTTATATTTACAAATATGATGTTAACAGATATTTTACGTTACGCAAATACAAATATAATTATTTAGCAAAATTCAAAATTTCTTAAATACAGGCTTTCAACGAGTACACTATTCTCACAATTCATATAAAAAATTGTATATAAAATTCAATACTTTTTCAATAAAACCAAAATTATTAATCATAATATTTATACAATTTGAAGTTACGAGAAAATATAACTCAAATTGAAAGAAATTATAAAATTACCTCTTAGTTTACATTAATGATACTAATAAGAATTTCTATACCCTAAAAGTTAGAAATTACAATATTGATTTACATTAGTATACAGTATATTATATGTGACTGGAATGCCATTGTGGTACTGTCAATATTAAAACCTAACTTTTGTATATATTCATGGGATATGATTCAGTTGAGTAAAAGATAAGCGGTGTAACATGATACATTGTATGCACGCCTATGATTTGTATGTCTATCTATTTACACGATGTTTTAAAATATTACCTCACCATTGCATTCTCTTAAATTTGTAAGCATAAAATTGAAAACATTTTTTTTTATCATAAATAAACATTTTACTTTAGTCTTACCTTGATAGACTGATTTCCTTATATTAAATGCATTGCTTCTTCAATTTTTATACAACAATTTCTATTGAATCGTGTAACTATATAACAAGTTTTAGCAATGATGAGATTAAAGTATTACTATTACACAATTTTTACAAACAAATTGTCCCGCATATACAGCATACATGAAATAAAAAATTTTTTAATTGAAACTTGTTTTAAATAATGCAGTTCTCTGCTTTTCGATATGTAAAAGTCCAAAAATTTGTTAAATTCTAAATAGTTTCATAATTAATCCATAATTGATTGTAAAATGAGTGACTTAAATATGTGACAGCATAAAAAGTAACTATTAAATAAACTCTGTACTCTATAATTCTCTAATTATTCAACATTGTTATAACTATATTGCATTGCAGTGACAAATAGTATACGTGAAGATCTTTAATGTTATAAAATAAAGATAATACTATGTAATCAATTATGGATTAATTTTTTATTGTAACGTGGTGACACGATTGCCTCATCTGTTACATCGCCAAGCTTCGCCTGGCTTTGCCCTAGTAAAATGAGCCCCGTACTTACACACATACCCCTTCCCTTCCACCCTTACCTTAGCGAGCGAACCGAAATCGGCGAGTCCCCCTAATTATCAGCCTCTTTTGGCATAACGATTGTAAATTGGAAATTTAGTAACGGGTGCGTTCCGCGCACCCCGGAATTTTGGGGTGATAGGGTAAGGGTTGAAGGGAGGGGGTGTGTGTAGGTACGGAGCGCATTTTGCTAGGGTAAAGTCAGGCGAAGCTTGGCAATGTAACGGGGGGGGGGGAATCATGTCACCACGTTATACTATTTATAACATCATACATTAAAGATTGATTAGTATATACTACCGATTTCAGTGTCTCTTACATAGCTAAAAATCAATATACAAAGATGAAGCTGCAATGTGTGCATATAGTATTAGTCTTTTGGCACTGCTAAAGCCTGGTATCAGAGATAAAACAATTTGTTGATCTTTTACTTGCTCTGATAAATTATGATCATGAAGTATGGGCAACATTTGAAATACAGTTAGGCCTTATTTATGTTGTTTATGATACTTAATCCACATATTTATTATCACAGCTTGTAGAACAATTATGCGACCTTCAATGCAACAAACTAATTTAATTTTGTAAAATTCATTGGCTTAACTATTTATGAAAAAAGTTTCGTTATTCTATAAGTTTGATTGATAATGCAATTTATTTTTAAATGGAATCAAACTTATTTCTTAGTTTAATGAGAAGGATTCAGAGCAAGTAAAAGAAATTATTTACTAAAACTATAATTTAAACGAACAAACAATACCTTAAACGTGCATCTTGAATGGCCATTGTTTAAAAAAAGAAACTTGAAATTATTTTGTACGTTTCTTAAATGTATTCAGTCTAATTATAGAATTTCTAATGTAATCAAATTGAAAGGACATCTAAAATGTATAAAGAATTGTAAACCTTTAGGAGTATTGTCTCAATGTTCATGTTTATATGACATTTTCATTCTAAGAAAGAGTAACATAATATTTTATACAACTTGTAAAAAACTTTATTAAAAAATATCAATTTCATTCAATCCGTTTGGTGTATATGTTATTAAATAAAAAACAAAAATTGTAACATTCAAGAAACTAACAAAATGAGGCATATCATACTGAACGAGCACAATGAAAATATCATGGTAATATCTATTATGTGTGCTGTAATATATTGGTTCAAGCAAGATGCTCCGTTTTCTTAAATATCTTCAATAATATTGTAGCGTCGACGCGAATGTGTCCTCAGGATCCAGTTGTAATAAAAATGTCTCGTCGTGATTCTCCTCGACGCAACAATATAAGTAGCACGTGATAGTTATGTATTTAACACTTCACTGAACACTCAGAGGATACAAGATTCATTTCGAAACTAGATTACACGTGTAATTAAAGAATTTTTGATACAATCGTGTGCTATTATAAAAAACCTAACATAAATGAAGCAAAACATATAAAGGAAGACTTTCATTTTGCTTAATAAAATTTAATCCATGAACATGAAAATAGCATTAATTTTGATTGTTTATAATATATATTTTATATTCTAAATTATAAAGCTAGTTATCATATTTACCAGATCATATACGTATATAAACCAACCCATTTTAATACGAATTTCATGTCAATTGATTGAGCTTTCAAAAGAGAATCAATTTTTTTGTTATGAAAACATGTTCATGAAAAAAATTTTATATTTAAAAATAAGGTAATCACCTTAAATGTTGTATAAAATGCAAAATAATCATATTAACTTATTAATTTCATGCAGAAACCCTAATAAATTCCCCATGGCTTCCAATCAGTTAACTTGACTGTTTCTACCAGGTACTTTGTATAAAATTGTTGAGGCATCTTCTTTGTAACAATTCACGTACAATACGATTTTATAGATAAAAATTATTCATTAAATTTCACTTGGCTAGTATTCACTTTGTCATCTCAGAACAATCATTGCATAGTTATCAACATCAATGAGGAATGTAGCTGCTCTATGTTTAAAAAAAGTACTATTCATATGAATCTCAAAATTGTTGTTTATCATCATTAATACTGTATACATAATATTTTCTCATCGAAACACATTTCTGAAAACAAAAAAGAAAGTAGGAACCTTTGTCTTTACACGTTATGGATTCTTATTGCAAAACTTTTAAAAGTGCGATGTGGTTATATAATTAAATGAATGAATAATTTATTTCCCTAATAATAAAATTTGATAAATAACAATTTAAAAAAATCGTTCCTTTAAAAATAACTCGATCTGATATCTTACTCTATAATAGAAATAAAAAAATTAAAAAAAAAAAAGAATAATTATCACAAAACGGTGTGTACTATTTGAACATTCCTCATTGATGTATACGTAAAAATTATGATACAGCAAATGGTTGTGCAATTTCACTAAAGCTATAATACACATAGGATTAACTACATACTAGATTCCTTAGTGGTGATAGTCTCGTTGGTATTATCAACTCGTATTAACGTCGACGAATTTAAAACAAGCGTCCTACTCAATGTAGCAACTCTTTCCATTACACAAGAAGCTGAAAGACGTGCTTCAGCATCATGATCCCAACACTCTTCCATTGTATCACAAATTGATTGAAGACCCTGAAACAATAATAAATCTTCTTAAGCCTATTATACGTAATAAACAATAACGTTTTACATCTTTACGAATATCCTTACGGGATGTTTACGCCACGTTTCTAAAATGATCGGCCTTTCTTTTTTATGCACAACACTTTCTTGCATATCTTCTAACGTGGGATGAAGACCGACTTCATCCTCAAATGGTAATCTATATTCTCCTATTGGTCCCTAAAGTAACAAAACATGTCAATTAACAATACAATATTTTGTAAATTAAAAAATATAAATAAAGTCTTACATCCTGTACAGTGCATCGAGAAGCTAATTCCCAAAGCACCAGACCACAAGCGTACATATCGATTCGTAAAAATGAATCTCTGGTGAAATTAATTGCCCCTTCTAAAACTTCGGGAGCCATATACCTTCTCGTTCCAACCTGAAAACCCCCCAAAAAATAAATTAAGTTTCATAAATTCCACCGACTGAACAACAAACGTACCTGCCCGTGGGTATCGCCGCAGGGTTTTCCGGGATGAAATATTAGTGCTAAACCAAAATCTGCTATACAGGCACTCATATCAGATTTTAGCAATACATTTTTTGACTTGAAATCCCTATGAGCCACAGCAGGTTTATAGCCATCTGCTTTATTGGCTGGAATTTCCTCATGTAAGTGCATCAAGCCTCTAACAAATTAAAATATATATTATAAAAAAATATATATTTCCTAAATCTGTATTATCTGTATAAAATTACCTTGCCATAGATTCTGCTATTCTACACATTTCAGGCCATGTAACAACATTTGCTTTCAAATAATCACATAATGAACCTTTTTCATGGTATGCAGTGATTAACCAGAATTCAGTTTGTAAATTATCCCCTCTTTTTTCAACACCTATGAAACGTAATATATCTTCATGGTCCATATGTGCTAGTTTGAAAATCTCTTGTTCAGTTTGCCAAGACTGTTTGTCTTGTATAGGAAATACTTTTACAGCAACAATTTCATTTTTCAATTGTGCCTTCCACACTGCTCCAAAACGACCACGAGCTTTAATCTCTAAAAGCTGTATTGGACGCAATCCCAAATTAGGAGATGGTTGTGGTAATGGAAGAGGTTCTAATGTTGGAACCTACAAAAACCAGTTTATAAAGTAATTATACAATGAAAATGGTTAATAAGATATCATCAAAACCAAAAAATTTAATATTTAGTAATTGAGAGATCTGTACATATGCCTTCCAAACCTCGTTGAAATATCTCAACTTCCTCCGCCGATAACACCAATACAAAAATGGCAGAACAATAGCAAGAAGAAGCATAGGTATTGATATTGATAAAACGAGTGTTATTATTTGTTGCTCTGTATTTGGAACAGGTTCTGGATCTAAAAAAGCAATTTTATTTAATACTTAAATGCGTTTAGTTCATCTAATATTGAAAAAAAGTAAATATAAACCTTGTATACCAGGTTTGGAAGAAGAAGTTGGATGAGGATCCCATGTAAAATTCTGATTACACATATTTCCATCGCAACAACAAAAAAATAATTCTTTTTTCCTTTCTGCACTGTTTTCAATGCAGTGTGGTCTATCATAACAATCATTACTATCCAAAAAGCACCCCTAAAATTTATAATAAATAAATAAAAGACAAATATTAATAATATACAATATTTTTATACCTTTAACTTAATTATAGATTTTTTAGTAGCATTGTCAATTTGCCATAATACATAACAATGATTTCTTTTGCCTGGATCATGTGGTCCACATTCTTCTCTTCCTGAACATTCTTGTTGGGATTCTGTACACATTGTTTCATTATAAAATTCGCAAACTGAAGATCCTTTGACATCGTGCCCTAATGTAGGACCTAAAAATAACAATGACTATAAATCTTTAATATCAACAACAGTTTGTAGAATTTTTTTAAATTGTATTTACAAACATTAATGACATCAAAAGTAAAATACATATTAATTAAACAAAAACAAATATATATTTTATGTTAAGAAATAAACACTTTACAATCAATAAAGTTTCATATAAGAAAAAGAATCTAAACAATCACATAATTGTCATTCAACAATATAGCAGATAATGAACCACGTATATAAACTATAAAATTTAATACTGTTCATAAAATACATAAAATTTAATAATGAAATTTAAAACACATTCGTCAAAAAAGTAGAATCATAGTCTCTGAAAAATTTCACATTAACGTATTTTAAATCGTGGATACAACTGTCAAATAAAAGATAATGGAACAATCAATTACCTAACAATCCTAGGATGAGATATGGCAGTATGGTCGCATATGCGGACATCATGAATGGATCGTAAAAGCATACCAGAAATTTGAAGTCTATATAGACGCACGGTGTTTGAGATGTGGCTAAAGCGCCGGACTTTGGTGCGCAAGGTCCGAAATTCGCGCTTAGCCTTCACATCTGGGTTATTTCTATATACATAATCCACATCATTGTATATCTGTCTTTTAAATACGGTTCTACGGATCCATGTTTACAGAGGTTGAAGTTGCGGCAAATTAAAAAAATAAAGGAATTGAGTCTATTAGCTGTTAAGCAAATTGTAGTAATTCATCCACCAACACATCTCTCTTCCTCTCCTCTCCCTCGCTTCTGACGGAACGCGCAAACCATAGATTTATGTCACTTTTTAATCGTCGAGACACTGCAATATCAGTCACATTCAATTGATTACATTAACTTCGACGAATAAACGGTCGAATTTAACGAATACAAATGCACTTGTAAAACAATACGTTCTAAAAATATTAAGAAAAATCGAGTAAAGCTTAAGGACTCGTAAAGTACATACCAGACGCACGGAAAGATGAATCATAAACTAATGGATTGCAATAGAATGACTACGTTGATGGGAAGCTAATGGGTGTATTTGCAATTTCCAATATTATCTTTTTAATTAGCAGAAAAATAAAATAATATGGTCTTATTTTATTTATTATATAATGGGAATAAAAACAAAATAGAAAGAAAATTTTATCTCGAGGGTACAAAAACACAAATCAGGGATAAAGTAATATCTTATTACCAGTGATCTTCTATACAAATAATGAGGAATTCACTTTAAACTTTGAAGTTACATTATAAACTGAATAATATTAATTTATAGCATATAAGTATAGCATATCTTTAACTTTTGCGTTAATAAAACAGAGGAACGTTCTTATCGACTGCGCTAAATACACATTAATCAGTCATAACTTTGTTCCGAGTTCTTACCGGTTCTTACTCTTTATATTTTGTTAATGGTTGATGTGTAATTTGGACTATACTTAAACTGTATCCGAGAATCGTCGGTGAACTGTCTCATGATTTTGTCTTCTTTTAACTTAAATCAACTGAAATTAAGATTACTGTTGATGATTTCGGCAAAAAATATTAATACAGATTCATAGTAACACATTTCTTTAAGTTTTTAAGGTTAGGTGACAAGTAGCAGTAATCTGATAATTATATCGCAACCGAAGTGTCATAACGCCTAATGACTTTCCTGCTTTAATCGAAGTGTAGAAGACAAAACGGAGAAATAATTGTTTTACTTTAAATGACCAGTAATTATGGCAACGTCTGATTCTGATAGAAAGCCAAGAGTCATAATTTTAGGAGGTAAGTACCATTTTGAATGATAGTATAACGGAAGCGATAAATAGAACTAAAGAAGTTTTATCGCCAAAACAGGATGCGGTTTCATAGGACGTAATCTTGTGGAATACTTATTGGAGAACGATCTCGTGTCTTTTATACGTATCGTAGACAAAGTACCTCCGCAAACAGCTTGGCTCAATCCTAAACACCAACAGTTATTTGAACATCCTTCAGTCGAATTTAAAAGTGCTAATTTAATTAATGCAGGTAATTAAAATCCTAACAGTGGTTTTTCATGAGAAATTTAAACAATCATTGTACCATCTACATGCCTTATAATCATTTTTCTTACAATTACTTGTAGCATCTTGTCAGAATGCATTTGCGTCAGATGAGTCAATTGATTATGTGATTAATTGTGCTGGAGAAACAAAAAGTGGTCAAACAGATCCTGTATATAAAGAGGGAATTTATAAGCTGAGCATGAATTGTGCTCAGCAAGCAGCAAAACTACAGGTTAATCGTTATGTAGAAATATCATCTGGTAATTTCAATGCTACTGATAAAGTATGTACATTGTAATATCCCTTTGTTAAGTAATTCATTTAAAAGATGAAATCAATGAATTAATCATTTTATAGAATCCTCTCAAAGAGGAAGATAATGGGGAACCATGGACATTTGTTGCCAAGTATAAATTACTGGTAGAAAATGATTTAAAAAACATACCAGATTTGAAGTATACAATACTTAGACCAGCTATTGTCTATGGTTGTGGAGACAGAAATGGTTTAGGTAACATCATAATAAATGAATAAACCCTTTCTATAAGATATTTCATAAAAATTGATCTTTTTATAGCACCACGTTTAGTAGTGGGAGCAGTTTATAAACATTTGGGAGAAATGATGAAATTACTTTGGGGACCAGATCTTCATATGAACACAGTTCATGTGAGAGATGTAGCTAGAGCTATTTGGCATGTTATGAATAAGCCAGAGGCTATTGGTCAAACATACAATGTTGTTGACGAAGGTGATTCAACTCAAGGTTCAATCAGTGCAATTGTTTCAGAGTTGTTTAATATCAATCATGATTACTGGGGTACTGCACTGTCTACATTAGCTAAAGTATGAAAAAAAATCTTATTACAAATGCATAATGTACAAATTATAAACTGTCAATGCAAATTTAAAAGGTTATTTTTTGCTACATATCCTAGACAGACATGAGTTCTGTAGTCGAAGAAGTAAATGATAAACATATGGGACCTTGGGCAGATGCTTGTAACAAAGATGGAGTGGAAAATAGTCCTCTTTCTCCATATATTGATCAAGAACTTCTTTATAACAAACATTTATATATGCAACCAGGAAAATTAACAAGTACTGGATTTAGTTATTTTTATCCAAAACTCACAAAAGATGCTTTAAAAGAGGTAATTATTTAAGCATCTATAAGAACATTTATAATAATTGGTAAACTATTATTTTTCAAACATATATTACATTAATTATTGGTTTCTAGGTTTTGGATGACTATGTAAACATGAAGATATTTCCACATTCCTTGGTTTTATGAATCTTAACCATGCAGACTGCCATGATTAATTATTGAAGAAATTTACAATGATTTGTATAAATAATTTTTGGAGCGTTTCACCTTGTGCCTAGTAATATATGCAAGTTATATACTCTATTGTATGTTATATACCATACTCGTATTTTACCTGCTAACAAAAATATTGTTAGCCATGTTTAGAGAGAGTATACAGATGGAATATGAAGATTTCATATATAAGCCTATTACAAATGTGATAAACTAGAAATTAATGTACTTAATTTTATTGTAGTTTGAAGTATAAAATTTTTGCATTTTTGAACTGCTAGTCACGTTTTGACCTGTAAGATTAACGTGAGGTTGAGAAATCTTTTACATGCCCAAACTTATATATATGTTATAGAATATAACGTTATTTGGGGAAATATTTTAAAGAATTGTGTACATCGCCAAAACAAATTTTTTTTGTACTGAATTTTTCAAGACTGGGAATACAAATAAAACTGTTAAAGAACTAACAAGATTTACAGATATTTATACAAGATTTTGTGTTTTTATATCCATTGCATTCCATTTAATATATATCTTCCAAGAGCTGTGACTCATAAATAGAAATCTTTTTATTCCAAGTAAATGGTCTTACAGTTATGTAAGTTTAGAATATTAGGAACATTTGAAGTATATAGTGTATTAAATCAAGTACAAATAATATTAATTAAGCTAAAACCTGTTTCAAAAACGCCAAAATTAAGCAAATCTGTAGATTTATAATATAAAATTAAGTAAGCCTACTTTTGCATAGAATGTAACAAAAATTTCATAGGCTAATGGCACTAAAAGCCAAATAAAATTAATAGTATTACTCTTTTGAAGCAATTGTTACGATACTTTTACAATAAAGTTACTCATTTATGCATTCATTTGATTATTTTATTATACCTTTAACATTACTTAGTTATATTTTCTGGGAAAGGATACTAACTTTTATTTTTCATATACCAGCAACATTGATACATTGTTGTCTTAATTTTATTCAATCATTGGTTACAACAAGATACTGTGTTCAGAAGGGTCAACAATATCATTAAATATTTTGTGTATTGTTTTAATTTTAATACTTTAAACAATAAGATTATAATAATTTCATGTAGTTCATTATACATAATATATTAAACAAATATATATACACATAAATATATATATTTGTTTTTAATATTTTCTGCAGATAATGTATGTACAAGTTGCAGGTAAAAATATTTATATAAAGTAACTGCACCCTAAAAAATAGCATAATTATCGCAACAGGTTAATAATATAAGGATCAGTAAAAAAAAAAATGATATGAGTTTACGAAAAATAAATTAATAAAGCTTCCTTAATACGTAATAATTACTATAATTAACGATAATAATACAAATTTCAATTTTTACCGGATTTACTTCTCATTTTTATATATATCTTATATAAAATAAAGTATAATGTCTTGGCTTATCTACCCATTGTATGGGAGAAAATATTTTCTGAGGTAAACTGTATAAATTTAAATTATAGTGCTGTGTAATAGGTACTGTGGTTAAGTTAAAATTAAGTAATGTAAACTACCTACCCTTATATAGGGTGGTAATAATGGAGGTATATTTATTTGACTAGAGTCGCCGTACAACATAATTAATACTTTGATAATGTTATGTATGGCCAATACTATTGAATTGGTGTTCTTTTAAAAGCTATTGCCCTTATTATGTAGTAATGGTGCGGATTTCTATGAAATATAAGGGAAATAAATTTGATATATGTATAGATGAAGAATATGCTATAGATAACAAGAAATCTTATACACTTAATTGAAATATTGCTTAGCATAATGAAGTTTAGAAGTAGATATAAATATACCTAAATCAAAGCCTATACAATAATTTATTAAAACAAATTTATTAAAAAATTGTGATCAAAATAGCCTCAATTCCAATTATTCTTTCTTTTAATATAAAATGTTATACTCTAAATGTTACGTTTACAATACTTGTTGCTCCTATTTGTAATCTACATACAATAATGTTTATTGCTTTGTACTTCAATACTGTAATCAGAATTCATTTCTTGAAGTTATAATGCTTATACAACAGCACGGCGACTCTATTTTATTCATTTCTGCCTTTTTACAAAGTTTGAAACTTATCACATTTACACAATTAATTAAGGGAATCATGTATGAAAATTTTTTCCTACTTAACATCAACTTCATTTTAAGTGTTCGGTGAAGGTTCTTTTATAAATTGGTAAATTTATGTAGGTACAAAATTAACGCAATTAGGATTTTTCAATAGACTCACGTCAACAGCAGTCAAAACAACATCGCACTTAACAAATACAGTATACTATGCTGTTAAAAGTAAACTGATAAAAATACTTTTTAAACCTACACTCATCTTTTTTCTTTTTTTACAAAGATTACCAAAATCAATAATTAAGATTTGTATACAGAAGGCATAATGTTTGCTACATGTTTCTGCCATTATATGTCATTAGTACATTCTCTTTACTTTGTTGATGCTTTTGATCTATTCTTTTTATATTTTTTTGTTTTTTTTTTTAATTTACTTCTTTATGCTTTCTCAAATTTGTCAATATAAAACTGTATAAGCTTAATAATTAAAATATACTCACAGTGTAAAAGATACTTAAAGACATACTGAAAGTATAATGTAAAAGGAAAACATTTTATGAGCGATCAGTTGCCTATCATTATATACCAATTTTCATTTCTTATTCAACTCCAAGAAGAGTAACAAATACCTTCAACAAATATAAAAGTATACTACTACATGTCAGTAACATAAAATGTAACAGATTGTGTTAAATATGATAACAAATGGAAACAAATTATTTAAATAAAAATCACAAAACAAGCATTATACTAGTGCAATATAATTACAACAAATGATATTTGTTGTAAAAATGTCAAGAATGAATAACTATAATCATGTACATATGAACTGAGATTCTAATTGTGAATATAAAATATGTAACAAATTCCATACATGGCGTTTAAATAAAACATACTTCTATCTGTAACGGTATATCAGATCTTGTAAATATTTCAAGCAGTAATCTATTAGTTCTGAGACTGAATAAAATAATGTAAGTTGTAATTTACATTTACAAAAGAATAGGTATGGAATATATGTTATAGAAAGCTTGTATTAAGAGCAACCACCTCTCCTTAATATAAGGCAAAATCATTTTTCAGCAATGACTTTAAATTATATGTTTAACAAATTATTTTATATAAAGATGTAGAAATCTGTGTAATAAATATACGATAAAATCTCTAATATGTGCATATTGAAGTAATTCTATTTTTTTACATGATTTTATACTGTGCTTGCAGTGATTATGTTATTGCATAATTCAGTGTAATGTGATCGTTTAAAATAGTACTGAATATAAAATGTAATAAATAACAATTAATGGAGGTACAATAATAACATGACATATCTATGTCTCACTCTAAAAGATATAGCTTATTCTATCAGGTACTGTATTGGGTTTTTTGTCATGGTAACATGCACCAGTCTGGAATATGTTTGTAGTTTTGTTTCATGTTTTTGCATTTGTATGATATAGTTAACCTTATACGTCTTGTACAACAGAAGATTGATCTCTATTGTTTAGACTGTCATAGTGAACAGGAAAAAATATATAGACTATATTCAGTACTTCCAATTGTTCAATCAGTATTTTCAATATATGATTCAGTTTTTTTTTATACTTACATACATCTGTGTATACATTATAAAAATTTGATCATTTCTTTTTAATTCTACTTTTTCCTGTTCTTTTCATACATTTTAATAGCATATAATACAATTATCAACATGTAATATAAAAAAAATTGTGTTAAATTAATATTAACATTTCAATTACTTTTTAAAAAATGCTTGATAACGTCGTATTCTTCAATAGAATAAATATTTACCAAAATCTTTAGTGGTATATGTGTACTTTGTTATAATATTTGTAATAAAAAGAAAATCTAAGCTATATTTTCAATGTATTAATTAAAATTTGATTAGTATTTTTCTTTTCTAAATTTCTTAAAACCTAAAATTCTTCCATGTCTATTGAACTTTAGTTAACAGGAAACTTAAAATTGTGGAATGATCAGTACTATCGCTCTCTTTAAAAGCAACATATGATTTAGATTAGGCCATACCCGTAACTTGGATATTTAATAATTTTGTTTTTTGTTGTAATGCGAAGGAATGCATTATTTACTTGTTTTTAATTATTATTTAAAACGTAGTATTTTATGAACATATAATAAACAGACATCTTATTTACAAGATCATCGAAAATTTTCGTACTATCCTATTTGTTTAATGTTCAATTTCATATTTTTCTGCCGTTCTACAAGTGTCAATTCAGTATGTTATATATATGTTATATGAGCAAGTTATTTAATGAATATTTTGTTAAGTATCATTTGAATGATTCATCTGTGCCACAGTATCGTTTTATGTAAAATTAAATATAAGAATTGTCAGAAGTTTTGTCAAACTGTAAATATCGGGATACTGGATCAACAGAAATAACTTGCTTCGAAAAGTTATGTACAAGGTAACAGCTAAAATGTCCAGATTCGACAGATTTTTAAAACACTATTATTTACATTAATCATGTACAGGTATGCATCAGTACTTTCATTTACAAGTCACACTCTGTTAAACTTGTAAAATGTAGTAATTTGCTTCTGCTTTCTTTCGTTCTTGTTGCTTTTAATTCGCGTTAATGCGTATGTGTATACACATATTTGTACAGTCGTATGTATACATACCTTGCAATTGATTTAAACTGTATGAACATTTCTTCATTTTACTTGTTGCACATTCACATGGTAAGCAAACGTGAACACGTAATTATATTGCCTAATGTTTTCATCCATTTGGTCCAAGTGCCGGAACAGATATACACATAGATTTTGGTAAGGACGTATCTCCGTCTGTACATCCAGAGTTATTATTTAAACTGCTACTACTACTGCCTAAAGTACAATTGACCATTGTGAGCTGTATAACCTCTAGATCTTGTTCGGGCTCTTGCTCTTGTTTTTGTTTGTTTAAGACAACACTGTCCTTCGTTTTGTACTATAGCGTGAAGTATACATTAGTTTTACTATACCAACTTTGTTAGATACTTTGCACTGTTTGAAATCAAAATTATTTATACCTGTGAATTCTTTGTTACGTGGATATCTTTAGTTTCGCCGTTTAGTTCCCATGATGGTAATAAAGGTTCTTTCGCACACGATTCAAGAATCCCATTAGATTTTCCACCCTGTAACAATGTACTTCAATAAAATATTATATTCAACTATAGAGAAATATTAATTTATACGTACTTTCGTATCTAAATGAGAATTAGTTGTAATGGGAGATGATGGACAAAGAACAGCAAGTTCAATTTCATTAGGCGACACTCTACTATTCGTCTGTTGATTCACCGATGTAGAAGATTGATCCGTACAACATCTACTCCCATTTCGTGTTAATACACGACTTTTCCCCGATTGTGCATTTTCTCTTGAAAGACGCGCATTTTGACATTTTTTTCGACAATATATACTACATAAACAGATTGTAATAAATCCAATACTAATACTAACACCAAGAATTACGCCTAAAAATAGATAAACACAATAATTTTCATTCTACGTAATAAATAAACATTCTGACTTAATTGTTTATTCGGTACTTGCCGAGGCTTTGATCAGGTTTCGTGTTATGTGGTGGCTCTTGTTCATTCGGCGAAGAAGGTACTTTCGACGTACTACCACCAGTAATAATAATTATGGGATCCGATGGTTTACCGTAACCAGCTTTTGTGGTTGCTTGCACCATGACAAAATATCGTTTCCCCGGAATTAAACCAGGTAAAGTCGTCGAAGTTTTATTACCAGGTACCGTCACATTTCTCCACGTTGTAGTCGAATCCATTAAATCCATGGTGTACACAACAAAATAATTTTGTATAATACCGTTTATATTACTTGGTTCCTTCCATGCGATTCGAACTTTCGTATTGTTTACTAAATACCATTGTACTTCTTCTACCTTACCAGGAACTGAAATTATTAATATACATAAGTTATTGTATGCTCATTAAAATTTATACAAATTTAATGTATGTTTACACTTACTGTCTTCATTTGTATAACATTCTACCGATTCACTGTAAAAAGTGCTTTGGTTTGTATTATTTTTAATAGCTCTTACTTTAAACTGATATAATGTAAACGGTTTGAGTTTATCAATATTTGCCTTGGTATCATTTCTGAAAAATATGTTTAAAATGTTTAATATTAAAACACTTAAGTTATAATAAAAATAGAGTGAATATTTTATACTTACATAATAATACATTTAGGACCATCTAAATTTATTGCATGAATTGCTTGATAACATAATTCAAAGGAATTCACTTCTTGCTCATCATTCAATGACCACGTCACACTTATAGAAGTAGGTGAAACGGGAATAGCTTCCAGGGCTATTGGTACATTATCTAAATAAAGAAAAATATTAATGATATATAATATAATATTACGATGCTTATATTCTAATAGAATTCAAATTTATGATAGGCTCACTTGTATCAGGTAGAATAGTTCCTATTTGTTTCGTTAAACAGCCTGTTGTTTCACCCGAGTTTATCATACATAAACCCATCGTATAAGAAACATTTACATCTAAATAAAAGTGGTATCAATTACTTTCTAAGCACACAATAATATATGAATTACTATGATATTGCTTACCAAGATTAGTAAATACGTATTCAGTATCATTTTTTGGTAAAAAAATAGTATCTAATTTATGTCCACTTTGATTTTCACAATAAATTTGCCAATGATCAAATTCTGATGCAATTTTATCATTTTCTTTAACATTTATTTTCCATTTTACCTGGTGTTAATAATTTTCACATTATATTAAGGTAATATGTATAGAACGATTTTGAAAAAAGAACTCATAATTTTAAAAGTATTTATACTAACTTTTACAATTGAAGCATTTATGATTAATACTTGCATATCCACAATGTTTTTGATAACGAATTGATTAGATTCAGTCGATGGCATAGTTACAGTTGTCCATTCCAGTTGTGATTCACTCAGGTTAGGCCATCCTTGTTTTGTTTTTGCTAATACTCGTACCTCATACTGTACTCCAGGTATTAAATCTTTTAAAATTATTTTAAAGTAATATCAGATCAAGTTTAATCGATTTTATCAGTATAAAGTATTGAATGCATACCAGGAATTGCATAAGATTCCACAGTAGCAGGTAAATAAAGAACACGAATAGATGAATGTTGATGCAGTCTGTATTGTAACTTGTATTGTACCACAATACCACGAGCCTCCTTTTTAGTTAGTGGTTCCCATGATACATTTAATTTTGTACTACTAATTACATTCGCTTTTACTTTTGGTGTACCTTTAGGAACTAATTAAAAAGATACTTTTGTACGTGCTTGTTACATTTAGAATAATGAACATTAAAAAACAACATACCACTCGGGGCTGTAGAACACAAAATGGTGGCTGATTGATCGCTGGGACCATAATTGTTCCACACTCGTATATAGAAAGAGTAATTCGTAAATGGTTCGAGAAGTTTCGTCACTTCTACTGACGTAGAATTACCCGGTTCAGGCGGAGAAACTTCTTCTTTGCCTCCTTCTATGTATACAAAAGAATATTACGTTATATCTGATTGTTATTAACATTTCCCTTAATTTCAAACTGTTTAATGCACTCACCTACGGGACTGTAATGGACGGTATAAGCTTTAATACTGTTATGTGGTAGAAACTTTGGTGGTTCCCAGGAAATAAAAATTTTAACTGGTGACAGAGCACGGCATTTTAAAGAGGTAGGTGCAGCAGGACTATTACGAGTTGTATTTACTTGAAGCCGACCTGCGGCCCATATTTCTCCCGCTGAATTAACAGCAACGCATTGATAAATACCAGAATCCGATGGAACTGTTGCTGATATTGCCAGTTCCATTTTGTTATAGTCTTTTACATATATAGTTCTACGCCCTGTAACAAATTTATGTACAATTGCATTGTGTTCCAAACTGAATGTATATAAACGTTGTAATAAATTTTACCATTCACTGTAATATTTGATGAATCTTTCAACCAATATATTTTAGGCACAGGTAACCCTTGTGCTTGACATTCAAATCTTGCAGTTCTCCCATTTGGACATAGTTGATTTGTAGGTGTCTTCAAAAATGAAGGTGGTATTGATACATCCACTGTTACATTCTGAAATACATTTTATCACATGTAATTGAAATTGTCGGCAATTATGTATAATAACACGCTATAATAACATACCTGAACCTCTGAATTATTTGTAACAAAATTTTTTGTAGAACATATATAAACTCCTGCATCTGATGCGCTCACATTTATCAATGATAATATACTAATACCAATACTAGAATTAAGTAAAATGCGAGGTTGTGTAACATTATTATTATCTAGAAATTAATAAATTATTTTACATTTCCATTTAAAATATTTAAATAACATACAAATATATGCATATAAATTACCAGGATAGCGAGGAATAAACGACCATGTCATAAATGGAAGTGGATACCCAGATGCAGCACATACTAAACTAATATTTGATCCATTTATTAACCAATGATTGTATGAAACTTGTGGAAACAATGATGATGGTGTATGTGATCCATTACCCTCTGGTCGAGAGATAACAGATAATTTTGCTTCCTTACTTTTTTTGGTTTTCTTTAGGAATTCATTAGTTACTATACATCTACAGAAATAAATAATGTAGTTTACTTCAGTTTAAACATTTGGATTTGTGATATACATAATTCCGCATTTATACCTATATGAACCAGCATCTGATAACTTCGTTGCTTTTATATACAGAACACCTGGTGGTACCATAATATATCTAGTACTGTAAATCACATATTATTATTATCATTATTATCATCATAAATTACTTAATGGGTTACTATTAATCAAAACTTTCTTACTTTAAGTTACTCTGATTGGGCAACAATATTTTTCCATTATGTTGCCATGTGATATTAGGAGGAAAAGGAACACTATCTATTAAGCAAGACACTCTTGCTACTTCACCCTCTTGTGCAGTTATATTTTCTGATAATTCTTTAAATACATGGGCAAGTTCTACAATATGAATAAATGTAATTTTGTATTTTAGTAAGAAATATCAAGAACATGAAAGATAAAATATTAAATGGGAAACTTACCTGCTATTCGAATAAATGTAGGAGATGATCTTAAGAGTCCTAAACTAGTTTGTGCTACACAACGGTACTCATCTTTACCATAATTTCTAACATTAACAGTAGCATTATTTTTGTCTTTAAATTTCTGCACCATCTTAAGTAAACAAAAATGAAATAATATGATAACATTAAATAACATCAACTTAAACACATCACACAATTAATAATTTTAAAAATATACCTTATACAAGTGAAGAGAACCATTTTTGAGAACAGTACAGCGTGTAATACCACATGGTGGTACTGGTACTCCATTGTGTAACCAAGAGATACTCTGATTTGATCCAGCTATACAACTAAGTGTAATTCCTCTTTTTCCTAATATCACATGACCACTTGGTTCAATTTCCAGTGTAATGCCAGAACCTTTGGTTGGACTAGTGTTGAAATTTTCTGATTTAGATACGTTTTTGTTATGTAAACCGGTTCCAAATTCTTTGACACCTAGAATATATGGGAATACATAAATTTATGCAAATGGTTAACAAATTTCCATGACTTTTATTTTACTATAAATCTACTCTTTTACATTAAAATTATGTGCATATTTTTTTAATAGTAAATTAAAATACACCTGTAATGAATTCTTTGTAATGTCATTAAAAAATAAGATTGCAATTACATATTATAAGTGAAGCTGTAAAAGCATTGTTCTTATAATAATTATACAATGCTAAATGCAAAGATAAATTAAATAAATTGCAGCATTACAATTTAATTATATTTTCGTTGCTTACATATCTAGATATTCTAATATGTTCATTTACGAATAATTTATTTCATACCCATGTTGTAAGAAATATAAACAAAACATTTAAACAAAACAGTTGTTTCTTTTTGAAATAAATGTATTTTAATAATTCAAAAACGAATTTCTATTTTTACATGACAAGAAGGATTCAGTACTTTGGCAATAAAAAGAATAGAAAAAAGACGTTAGCGCGTGGTCCAGCGTATATGAGTTGTCGAATATAAACAGATTAGATAGGAAGAAAGGAGGGAGATATACCTGCGGCACAAGCGGGCTTTAACACTTCTGTAAACAAGATGCTCAGTAAAAGTACTCGCGCCGCCATATATTCACACTCATTGGCACTGGTTTCACTGACAAATCTTGGCCAAAACACGCTGTCGATTTGGTAGATTTTTCTGCAAAATTCGTCGCCGCATGTTTGACATCGCCTGCAAGAGTTTTTGGCCGTTCCGTTCGCCGAACTCTTACCCCCCTTTCAGGCTCACTTTACTTTTTTACATCATTATCAGGTAAAATGATATATCGTCACTGAAATCTTTAATACGTCGACAATACCGAGAATTACACGGTTGTCGCGAATGATGTTCGATTAGATTCGTTTGCATTAGCACGCGATTCGTTCATTTCTTACCATCTTCTATCTCTACTATCCGCGTTTGTAATTTTTACAGTAAGGAAGAAGATTCAAAATTCTTGATTATCAACCACAGTGCCACACACGGAAGATCTATGAAGTAGAATAATGTTTTGTTATACAGCGCCACGTGCATTTTTCCTATGTATTAACCAATGCAACCAATGATATTGTTGAAAAAATTACAGAAATCATTACTGACTTATTCTGCCAAGTAATTGAAGTAATGCTATCAATGTATTGCGTATTTAAAATTGTAAATTATTTTACATTGTATCAAAAAACATATTATGTAATTATTTATGTAGTATGTAATAAAATAAAATAAAATTCAAACATACTATTGATACAAAATAAATCTTATAAAAATATATTAACGGCAAACAGTACATATGTACATAAACAGTGATTCTTTGGAGGGGAGAACATACCTAACCCTTAAAATTTAAATTAAACATGGCGCGTCAAAGTGTTAATGTAGATTATGAAAAAATGCATAATTTGTTAGATAATAAAAATATTGACTTGGATAATTGCAGAAAGTTAATTAAATCGTATATTGATCTGGTAAGGTTTAAAGATTCATTAGAGTTTATCAAAGATATTCAGTTATTTAAAGCTGCCATGGAAACTTAACTACTGATTTATTTGCAGCATTTATACAGTGCAGCTTTGTTTTGGGCAGATAAAGTTGTTTCATTAAGTAATGAAGATCCTAAGGATATATGTACGTTAGCTCATTGTATGTATCTAATGAAACAGTATCATAGAGCTGCACACCTTATTAGAAACAAAGGACTAGAAAAGGTAAATTTTAACTTTGTTATATTTACCAACACTATAAAACTTTGATATATATATATGCATTTTACAAATTACATTAATATTGTTTTGTAGACAGATGTAATGTGCCATTATTTAACAGTAAGAAGTCTCTTAGAAGCAAAAGAATATAATGAAGCATTGCAAGTCATTAAAGAATCAGAGATATGTACAAACATAACACAATCAGGTTTTACAGATCGTACTGATATATTTGAAGATGCTCCAAAAAATGTGATTAAGTATAAATAATTCTTCATGATTTTTCCAAAAGTTATGTTAATTTAATAAGATTTTATCAATCTATTTGAATTCTGTGATAGGTACAAAGTTCAATATTGTATGTAAAAGGAAGGGTGTATGAAGCTATGAATAATCAAGCAGTTGCAACTGATTGCTACAAACAAGCTTTACATTGTGATGTTTATTCCTATCAAGCATTTGAAGCATTAGTTCAAAATCAAATGCTTTCAGCTTCTGAAGGTAAGAAAAGTATGAATATATGATGTAAATATAGACATTAGTAATCTAAGATGTATGTAATTTTATTAGAAAAAGAACTACTGGAATCTCTTCCATTTAGTGAGCAATGCACAGAAGCTGAAGCAGAGCTTTTACGGTTATTGTATGAAAGTAAACTAAAGAAATATCAAGAACCAAATAAGAAACAATCACTTGTAACTTGTAGTGTAATGGGAGTTCTTGTCACAGATAGATTATTAGATAATCTGGACATGGAAGTTGCAGAAGCAGAAAGATTATATTATAACTGTGATTATCATAAATGCTTCTCACTTACAGAACGGTAATTTGTGAAAAAAGAATATTACTTTTATATCATGTAAATGTGTATATACATTTATAATCTTGTGTTTTAGAATATTAAAAAAAGACCCTTACCATAATTCATGTTTACCAATACATATTGCTTGTTTAGTAGAACTAAAAAAGACTAATGGTAAGTAAGCAATCACAATAAAAGAAATTTATAATTTATAGTTTTCTGTATAATTTTATATAATAACTTTTCAGCTTTATTTTATTTGGCACATAAGTTAGTTGATTTATACCCAGACATGGCCTTAGCATGGTTTGCAGTTGGATGTTATTATTATAGCATAGGTAATTATTATTTTAATTAAATAATTTTACCTTTCCTAATTATTGTTGTATATATCTAATATAATTGCAGGTAAAAGTGATCCAGCTCGAAGATATTTAGCAAAAGCTACTGCCTTAGATAAATTATTTGGTCCTGCTTGGTTAGCTTATGGGCATTCCTTTGCAGTAGAGAATGAACATGATCAGGCAATGGCTGCTTATTTTAGAGCATCTCAGTTAATGAAAGGGTGTCATCTGCCACTTTTATACATTGGACTTGAATGTGGCTTAACAAATAATCTCAAATTGGCTGATAAGTTTTTCCAACAGGCTCAAGGAATAGCTGCAAATGACCCATTTGTTATACATGAAATGGGAGTTATATCTTTTTATAATTTAGAGTAAGTGGTTTTATATTTATTCTGATATTATCCCTAAAAAGTTATTATAATGTAGAAAAGAGAAGTTCAAAGCTCACTCTACAACCTGATTAGTGTACTTCTACCCTTCCACGGTTTTTGGAAATCTGCCTAATTTATCAAGAGTTGTCATTTCATCGAATACAGTTACAAAACTGCTGAACGGCAATTTAAGGAAGCCATGAAAAGAATTCAAGGTGGTCTGAAGGATGTTATTCTACCTAGTAAATGGGAAGCACTTCTGAATAATTTGGGTCACACTTGTAGAAAAATGAAGAAATATGAAGAAGCATTGGAATATCATCAACAGGTTAAGAAAAAAATAGTACTTAAATATAGTTTTATTAAAAATTGTTTCTATATTAATCTTATCTCTTTTATGATTACAGGCATTGGTATTAAATCCATTGAATCCATCAACATACTCTGCAGTAGGTTTTATTCATGCATTGATGGGAAACACACAGGAAGCTGTTGATGCTTTTCACAGAGCACTTGGTCTAAGAAGGGATGACACATTTACAACAACTATGTTAACTTATTGTATGGAACAACTCATAGAGGAATCACCTCCATATCCGGGTATCTAAAATCATGTTTCTGTTTACTATATTTTTTTCAAATAATCTTATCTAATTATCAATCATTCTTATTAGATGCTCCTGTCGAGATTCCGAAGTATAAATTTCCTGAAGTTAGACATCAGGAAACAGACAATACAGGGACGTTGGAGAGTGGAAATAATATAACCGGACCAGCTAATCAAGATATTGATAAACTAAGAGTAAATCTATTTTCTGGATGGGGAGAAGATTCAAGTAAAACTGAAGACAATACTTCTGATAAAGTAGATCACAATCCACGAGAGGTTGTCGTAAATTATTCCAGTGATATCAGTTCCGAAGTTGAAATGTTGGATTCGTCGACTGCACATATAGAATAAAGAATGTATGAAATAAACAATTTTTTATATAATGAATAGAATTTTGGCTATGTAATAAAGCAATGATTTTTGCTTCAAAAACATTTTTTCCTTGTTTTTAGAAGTCTACTATCATTATATCAGTTTTTGCATGTCAGTTCTATGTACATATACATGTTAAAATAATTGATTTTTACAAACAGTTTACACCAGTTTCTAAATGAAAACTTAATTTACATTTTTAATTTTAAAATATAAATATTATGGTATATTAGAAAATGTACAAAGTTTGTAAATTATTAAACATTGTACGTATTTTGAACGACATTATTTATAAATATAGAATAAAACAACTGGTATCGAACATTAAATATTACAATTTTGTATTTTATCACACATACAAAATTCCACAAGGGCGCGTTCGTGAACCGCGCCGGCGTTTACCGAAGATGGAACTTGCTGGTGAAAAAGCGAGAGGGTGAGACAGATCTTCAATTTAGTTCGCAGAGTGAAGCAATGTGGAGAAGAATGGGCGTTCCGTCTCCATCGTTGCTGTATCGACATTAAATCAAACACAGGAGAAAATAAATTTTACTTTCAAAGAACCAACGAACTAATTATAAATGGGCGATTCTGGGAGTTAAACCAATTAAAATATTATCCCCCGGCAAATGATTAAAATCCCGGCGGGATCAAACATTGCAAACTTTTAATATAACACGATAATTATTGATTCACTAATTTATTAAGTTTGTGCATTTAATTTCTCACGTTTGTTAAATCAACAAATTCTGCTGAACGTTTATACACCGTATCAGTTTCTTTGTAATTTGCCTAATTACATCGCCAAAAAGTTACTACACATTGAATTTAGTAGAGAACACCGATTTGGACAATTGAAAACGTCGGTGAAATTCAATTGAAGATCGACATGCCTACGTTAATGCCATCGGTAAGTTATTTTTCTACAAAAATGATATATTTCATCTATTTTACATTTATTCTCTTCAATTTGATACAATTATCTTGATTGTGTGTCATTTTTCTATAAATCTGATTTTTTGACTTTTTCATGCGGTCGATTCGTAACCTACTTCAGAATTTCGTTGGCGTCTAGTGCCATTTCGAAAAGGGAATTTGTCATGTAAATTATGTCGGTATACAGTATACACTGATAATCATAACGTAGAATCTAGAATGTGAAATCGAATGCGAAGGAATGTCCTGCGTCCTCACTTGTAAACAAACACGCGAATCGTACGTTGAGCCGCAACGCGTCCACGTGCAAAACACGTTGCGTTTCGTACGCTGATAGACATGCCCTTTACCTATATGTATATGTATATGTATATACACATTATGTGTGGTTGCGCCCTCTGAAATTGCCCTTAACCCTTTATAAGCTACCTTAAAAACGATGAACGAAGGTAAAGAAGAAACTCTTACAATTGAATTTACTTGGATTACTTTCAAACGTCATAGAAATAAATGATTCAATATTACAAAGCTACTGAAATGAGATATATTGTTATAATTGCTTGCATTAATGAATTAAAAACGTATTATTAAATATAATTCTTTGTATGTGCATTATAGCCTCCACCCTTGCATGATAACTTTGTTAAATTTTTAATTAACTCCTTTAATTTGAAATTTCGAAAAATTCGGGTTTTCGTCCTTCGTATATATCCTTCAGTCATACATACATATATCGGAAGACTTTCGTAAGAACAATCGATATCAGTGGAAAACCAGAAGTAATTCGATGAGTCAAAGGGTTACAAATCCAGAGACTTCTGAAGAATATTACATTTAAACCAACGTATTATGAAATGGCAGTTGTTTTTGTAGATTATAAACGTGCTTAGGTATCTGTTCGTCTTTGAACTTGACAGCGTTGAATTCTAGGAAGTTTGGAATTCCTGTTGAACCTCTAGAATGCCCCGATATCTTCCTTCGGTGTTGCAAAATTTTTTTTCCGAATTCCACGAACGTGAACTGGGAGTGGCGTCCTTCAGCTCCTGTTTTCGTTATTCTGTACCGAAAGCTCGAAGCATAGTTCGCTGGTATCGTTCATAGCGATGAGTTCGGGAAATCCAATGGTAGGTGATACGCATTAAATTTCACGATTTTTCAAGCGCGAATAAAAACGCCTTTTAGCGTCTACCGATTATTATTTGTATCGTCGATAACAGTGTATTTGTCGAAGAATTGTGGAACATCTGAAATTTCATCGCGCTTACCGGAAATTGCGTAAGAAGATTGACGGTGTGACAAACAAGGCGATTAGTTTGAATAAATTATTAATTGATAACTTCCGAATTTAAACGAATAAAAGGAAGATAGCTTAGTATACTTTTTTTTTAACGTTCAAACATAATACAACGAATCAAATATGTATATCATGTAAATGTCGTTACTTCCTGTAGCGTCTGTTTCAATACCTTACAAACAATTCCAATAGCAGTAACAGTAAACGAGAGAAAAATTGCGATAGAAAAGATCGATAGGAGATTTTACTAAAGAAATGGTGAACAGCGTTTTTTTGATTATCACATAGTTGTAACGTTATACGTTATTATCTGTAAATACAATATACCAAGCGCGATCGCGTATACAAGAGAGCCTGATATCTGAAAACTCTTATTTGAAACGAATTCGTACGCTAACGATAAATCCCGTTTCTCGTCTATTTGCAGCTAGATTTAACCTACGATGTTGATGGAGTGAATGTACCGGATGTGCCTGACCGAAACAATGAAGCGTCGCACGGTTTGCAACTGCAAACGACGCGCGACCAGGACCACACGCAACTGCAGCAACGCGATCATCTACAACTGTTGCAACTGCAGCTGCCACAGAGGGACCACGTGGGCCCTCAGCAACTGCAACAACGGGACAGGGACCAGTTGCAGTATCAGCAACGAGACAGGGAGCAATTACATCGCGACAAATTGCAACAGCAACGTGATCGCGACCGCGAACGGGAGCATCTCCATCAGTTGCAGTCGATCAACAACTTGTTACTGGACTTGCCGCCGCCGGCTAACTTTCAAGGATATCCGCACGACAAGTCACGCGCGCAACCTAAAAAAGGCAACAATATTGATGGTATTAAGTTTTACAATTATTCTTATTACAATTGTTCTATTTACTTTTTAAATTCTATTTACCTGTTAATGGTACGTGTATATTGGATTTATAAGAAATTAAATTAATAATTCATTTCGGTATACATACGAACAATAAGGTCGATGATGAAATTTCCATTTTGTAGTACAGTAATTTTGTTACGTCGCGTGCTTCATTACGGTTTCATCCATTAATATATCAATCTTCATTATAACGTGTAAAATGCAAAACAGTTAATTGTATCGTTCCACTATCTCGATAAATATTTAACGAAAAAAAGAGAAAGTTGTTCTAATCGTCTATTTGGTTGTTCAAAAATTAACGCGTCGTGTACTACACGCGTTTGTCGTTTGTTAATCGATAGTCTTCGCGGCGCCCTGTTTATTTCTATTTTCCCGTGACATTTCAAATAATAACATTTTTCTTTTGCCTTTACATCAGGAGACATGTCGATTTCGGATCTATTCGGGCTAGGTTTACCTCGGGGATCGTTGATGAACAGCCAGTCAACGGCTGCATCACCCGGCTGCCATAATTATCAATATCAGGCTCGCAATCAGGGATCCTCTCAGCATTATCAGGTGATGCCTCCTTTTATTTTATATATTATGCATAAGCTTTTCCCCGACCGTTCTACACAGAACAATTTCAGTCTCATTTAGGTCAGGCCAACTTCGTTATTCACGTGGCGCTTCCTAGAACTAGTTCCCTTAATTTATCCTTGCTGTAATTTGTTACGGCTCCGTTGAATATAACTAAACGGTGCTTGTTATTTCCTATGGAAAGATCATTTTAATTATACAACATTCTCTATTGAAACATTACCATAGAATTTTATAGAACTTGAATGATTATTTGTTATTGTATGGTCAACTGTGATCTTGACAATATGAAAAATTAATACATAGCACTAACAAAATGTTTATTTTTGTTATTTTTATCATTTGCAAGTGTCAAGCGACGGTCACGATAGTGAAAATCCGAAACGGCGAAGTAGGCAGTATTCTGAAACGTCTGGCTACTGCCAATGCAATAACCGGAACAATGATTATCCTCATTGGAATGACTCCAACTGCTCCTCGAACTTCCTTTTCCATCCGTCGCGGCTAATTTTTTTTTTTTTGCGCACAATAAGAACGCTCCCAGTTGTACCTGATGTATCGATTTTCAATATATTCGTTACGTCCGATCCCTAACATCAATTTACGATAGCAGCTACGATAACAGATGACGATAACGCCACGATAAGAATCAAAGTTGGTCCCTTTTGCTAAATTTTTCTGTTTAAATTAGGGGGTCATCGATGGCTGAGTTGATGAATTTAAAAAAAAAAGATGATAAAAATTAAAGATACCGCATAAGAATATTTTATATTATTAGACTGTTTAAGTACTGTAAATATGAAAATATGTAGAATAATAATCCTGAATAGTTGAGTCATAATGGACGATGGTATCTCGGTCGCAAATAACGCTGTTTCATGGGAAAAGTAAGAGAGTAACTGTACGAAAGTCGTGCCTCATCGAGCAGACGCTTTAATGGACATTTTATCAGGCTCTTCTCGACGCCTTTAACGTTATTACCTTCACCATTTGCTGGATGCATCGGTACATAAAGGGCCGACAGGACATCGAGATGCGTGTATTTGACTTGACGTATAATGCGTGTGGTAAAATAAATTACACACAACCGAGCGCGTTAGTGCGACCCGGATTCCAGGATAGCCAAGAATTTACAAGCTTGAGCCAAACGGCTCTATCACCGGCCCTCTCCTTTCCCACCCTTTGGCCTCAACTTTCCTGTGAACTTGTAATCGCGTTTCCTCTCTTTTTATCTCGTATTTTGTAACATTATTTTGAATCCGTTCCAACCACGGTGTCAAGTAAGGTTGCCGTCTTATCATAATATAAAACCCTGACTGTCATAAATAACAACTTTGGACGATTAAAGATCTAAAAGTAAAATTAGTTGTTTCGTGTAAAGATGTAGAAAAGCTTCTTTTATTTATTGCTATTAGAATAGATTTTCAATAATAACGAAGTCTGTGTGTTTTAATAGCAATGCGATGATAGGAATGGAATGTGCTCGAATTCCCTGATGTTGGATGTACCAAGCTCGCCTAGTTCTATCAGTACACCTGGTAGCCCTAGCACACCCGGAAGTCTGTACTCTAATCCATATTCATACTCGTCTATGAACAGTAGCAATCAGACAGCATCATCTCCAACTAGTAGAGGATCCATGCAGCAGATCGGTTCACCGTCGTCCCCTCTTCATTCTCCCTATTATGGGAGATCTATTCGTGGTTCTCCCCCTTATAGGTATTCTTTCCTTCTTTTTTCTTTAATTACATATTATCATTTGTTAGCGTAATTGATTTTAATTTTTTAACGTTAGCGACTGCAGTAGTCCTACATTTGAGTACTCTCATATGATGGGTTGCAATAGTTCAAGATCAAATTCACCAGCGGACTCAGAAACAAGTGGAATAAGTAGCATGGATGGTTCTCTATCCGACATAATGGTAACGACGAATAATTTCAATTCACGAAAAAGAATTTTGAATATCATTCGTTATACTAAGAAATGTACCGTTTTTTTAGAATTGCTTATCATTAAATTCATCATCGCATGGATGTTACCCTCAGTCTCTGAGTTCGTTGATATCACCGGAAGTGGATTTATGCACGAACAACAGAGCAGCTGCGTTTCAACGTATGGCGGTGAAAAAGTACTTGGCTCCGGCCCATCAGAATTCTTCGTCGACCCATCATCATCATTCGCACGGACATAATCGTGGCCATCACTATGGGTCGAATCAGAACAATGGTTTTCTCAATTCTCTATTGTCACATGAGAAAAATTGTTGCTCTTCCGGTAATCATATGATGCCACCGAATTCACCGCCGATTAATATTTTAAATCCGCAACTCTCTCTTGAACGTGTAGCCCGATTTCATCGAAGTGCCGCTGGTACGTAATTATTTGCTTGATCATCGAATGAATAGGTATGTTAATAACGTGAAAAATTCCTCAGCACTTTGTGATCCAACTTGCACTTGGAGCGGTATATTGCCTCAACGTACTCAGAAACCGTCGGGTTATTCGTCTAAGGTATTTCTTGGTGGGGTACCTTGGGACATTACCGAATCCCTTTTAATTGCAACTTTCAAGCAGTTTGGTCAAATACGAGTGGAATGGCCAGGAAAAGACCAATCCACTGCTCAACCCAAGGGATATGTATATATCATATTTGAGTCTGAAAAACAGGTGGGCAAAGATTTTATATTCTTCTTTTTATTTATCATTTGCCTTTAACAAGAAAAATTATTTGTTTAGGTGAAAACCTTGTTGGCGTGTTGTACACACGATTTTACCAACGGTGGTAGTTGGTATTATAAAATATCTTCTAAACGTATGAAAGCAAAAGAGGTATGCAATTACCTCGCATTAATTTTCTTATAATCATTTCGTCGCAATAATTTTTGTTTTTAAATAGGTTCAAGTAATACCGTGGATTCTAGAAGATAGTAATTATGTAAAATCTTCTTCGCAAAAACTTGATCCTCACAAAACAGTATTTGTTGGCGCTCTTCACGGTATGTTAACAGCTAGTGGTTTAGCGAAAATTATGGACGATCTGTTCCGTGGAGTTATTTATGCAGGTAAAAAAATTGCGTAAAAATATATTCCTAAATGTACTTGAACGATCAAATAAATACTGATAAACTAAAATTTTAACTTTATTCAGGTATTGATACCGACAAACATAAGTATCCGATAGGATCTGGTCGTGTTACGTTTAGTACAAAACAATCATACATGAAAGCAATTTCAGCTGCTTTTATAGAAATAAAAACTGCCAAATTTACGAAAAAGGTTAGAAGTATACTGTTAAACGAAAATTCAAGATTTCCCTTGAATTATAATGATTTTTATTAATATTTTATAGGTGCAAGTTGATCCGTATTTGGAAGATTCTATGTGTTCTGAATGTTCAGTGCAACAAGGACCTTACTTTTGTCGTGAAGTGGTAAGAAATATATCTTATTACTATATTTGTATTTTCTGTAAAAAGTATTTAATCAATTTTATTCCGATTCTGTTTCAGATTTGCTTCCGATATTTCTGTCGTAGTTGTTGGCAGTGGCAACACTATATGGAATCAATGTGGCACCACAAGCCTTTAATGCGTAATTCAAAAACAAACCAAGTAGTTGGATTGTCACCGAATTTGAACTCTGGATCTCGTGGAATGAATAACTCCACAATTTAAGTACAATCGCCAAGCTTTTCTTTCATAATCACACATTCACTTTTTTTTGACTATTAGTTTTCACACGGACGTTGCGCTTACTGACAGGGTGCAAACTTAGTTTTTATCCCATAGCAGCGGGTAGCTGGTTTGACGATATACATAAAAATACCGTATACACCAGCTGATCGGCGAACGCAACGATTTCTTTATTATCGTTATTATCACGTACGTCCGTGTCATAGAGACTAATTAAAAGATAAAAATCGTGTTTCCTGAAAAAGTTCCTATTTCGAACGCGGTAACCACCACGTTCAACAAACAGTATTTTTATTTAGTATGTTTACTTAGGGGACTGGCTCTCTAGTTGATCGTTTTATTACGAAGAATTATAATTGTGCCATTAAGTAATGTGTCACATTATACGGCAATTATGCAACTGTGCATTTATATTGAATTCATGTGAGTTCAATTGTGGCTTTTATAATGGAAATAATTTTTATGCGATAAAAATAAGAAGCCACTCGACTGTTAAGAAAGGAAAAAAAAGAAAGAAAGAAAGGCTAAGTTCCGTGATCTTCCATGATCCATAAAATACAATGCGCCGCTATAATAATCTATAGGTGAAATATTACGCTTAATCGTAAATTATTCGATGATATTAGATTATTGTATTGTTCTAGCGGCAGAAGGGATGAATAATTCAATTATTATTTTTCGCGAAGAACGTATTTAATTTGATATAACCAAAGCGATGACTTTCTATTGAAGTACTATCTAAAACTCAATCCGTTCTTCTGTTTCAAAGTTTATCGATGATATTGCCCATCGTTATAGTTTTACGTTAGATTGTACAGTGTAAGGGTACTGCCAAAACGGCCACTGTAATCATAATTTATAATCTTAGTGAAAGTGCTAAGCATTTTGCGAGCTTTCGTTCACAGGGACTGTTTAACTGTTGACGAAATGGAAAAGTACATGGTCTACGATTCTGGAGCGGATTGTAGTGAATTGATTCTGTTTTTATTTTTTGTTACGATATTATGTTATGTATTTTTCTTTCAACAACATTTCTATAGCATTCTAATCGTGTTTCTAATGTTTTGATATCATTTTGTTGAGTGAATTAAAAATCATATTTTTGCAGATAGACATTCATTGTCGTTTCTCTTTTTCTGTTTCATGATTACGTTTCTTTTTTTCTTTTTTTTTTTTTGAATCGTTAAACAGATTGATTTTGTCGAGCGAACCTGCCCTTTCCAAGCTCCTCACCTTAAAAGCATGTGTTTATGCAAAGTGCTTAATATTAAATGTTATTACATTATAAGAATCTGATGAACACATAGTATTAACAAAAACCATAAGTTAAAGATTAACAATACAAATCAATCAGTATCGATTTTTATCTTTTTTATTTTTCGTTTGGTTTTCAGATCGATTTAAATTATAGTATTTTATTTAAATTATAAATTAAGCGTTTATTTGTACGTAACATGAAAATATTATGTCATGTTATTCGTTTCACTACAAATTCATTACATTATATGTTATTACTGGTGGATGTTCCAAACATGAAGTTATATAAAAATTAAGATTTAAAATTGAAAATGCATATAATCAACAAGTTACTCTGCTATATTATTGGTTGTATCTAACAAGTGTTAAAGAAAGGGAAGAATTAATCATATTTCCAAATCATTGAAATTTTGCTTGATTTAAAAAAGTGGAACAAATACAAAAAATATATCGTGTTATAACATCAAATATAATTAACAAATAACATGATTACTATATACATAGGATGATACCCATATGAAGTGCTTTAATACAACATACAAAATAATATATAAATATATATTCTACAGAAGCTTCGAATGTATCCATAAAGTTTTTAGTTAAAAAACCGGATTGCTATGCCTAACAATAAGAATGATTCTAAACAGATGAATGTCAACAAAAATCTTAGACTAAAAAGAAACTAAATGAATTAGCGGCCAAACGACAATGAGCCGTTGGAAATTTTAAAGATGCTCTTTTATCGAAAATATCTTGTTTACAAACTTTTAATAAGTCGTGCCTTTTAATGTAATCTCCATAGATTTTATTCTAATGTGGAAAACACAAATTATTTTTAAATCATTGATAACCACACAATATAGGGTGATCTATTATTAAAAAAAATGTCAAACTTTCTTAAAACTTTTAAGAGATTTAACTACACGTGAGGCAACGATTACACAATGCCCTAGGTAGCAAAAATACCATTTTTTTTACGTTCATATGAAAAGTGCCTCCTATTCTTTCACTTTTATTGATAATACAACCTATGTCTATTGTTTATAAATAACGAGATTCGAAACACATGTAAAACTGATTCGAATACTATTAAGCATATATAAGTACACTTATTAGCATAAAAACAAGTAAGCTTTATCCGAGTATCAATAATTTGTATTGCTCTAGCTTTTTTCCTATTACACGAATCCTTGTTAAAGCATACCTTGTAACACAAAACTAATATATTAAAAATAATAAATTGTTCTTTATTATGTTAACATAGCATTGTTTTATAATCTACGAAATTATATCAAAGAATTAAAACAATGAGACTAGGGTTTCTTTATGTGTATTATTTATTGCAAATTATTTTCTGCTAGAAGGAAAAACTTCTAGTAGAGGTAAAAATAACATTAAAGATCACGATTTTTGTTGTAAATTCATATGTAGTATCTAATACTGTTCTATATAATTTATACATTAAGTATCAAAAATACTTCTTACATTCTGATCGTTTTCTTAGTGCTTGATACAAACCAATCAAAGAAGATATTGTTCCAAGTGCTCCTACATGCCAAGTTTTTAATTGACCTCCCCAAAATATACCAGGTGGTAAGTAACTTATTGCATAACTTATATCTAATATCAATCTTATGCAGGTCAATAGCTCATTTGATCTTTGTTTACTTATAGTTTTTAGAGCTATTCTGTAAAAAAAGAAATTATTAAAAATCATTAACCATTAAATTTTTACTAACCACTGTATAATATATTTACCTTGTATCATAATTAGTTTCAGAAAGATGTGTTTTATAATTGTTAAACTTTTTTAGTTTTCTTAGGGACCTACAAAAAATTATAGTATATAAAAATATTAAGTACTAAGTATTTAAATTGGTTCAATTAACATACTTCACCAGTGACAAATGTAGAGAAATGATCCAAAACCATGTTGTAGCATTATCCCATGCTTTAGCATCAAGTTTAATTAATTTACGTGTACCAGCCCAAGAAATGTGTTCTACTGGACAAAATACAATATTCACTGCAATCTGTATCAGTTCTGCCCATCTGATCAACCAATCTGGCTCCTAGTATATGACATATGAAATTTATATGCCTGTAGGAAAATAGTATAAATCTGCACATTACATCAATGCATAAAAACCTAAGCATATAATTTATATAAAATATTTATCATTATTGATATTCCTTTATTTATTGTATATACCTCCTTTCCCCAACCATATGATAGAGCATAATGTATCATTGGTATATCATCTAATAATCTTAGAATTACCCTACATTCACTCATTTGGCTACCAAATATTTTTAACTTATTTTCCATTTCCTTTGAAGAAGCACCCAATGTAGCCAATTTTGCCATATAAGATAATGTTCTTAAAAACTTATCCCTTCCTTCATAGGTTTTTAGGTATTCGGATACTAGAGCAATACTCATTTTGATTTAAAAATATTTAAAAATATACATCAATCAGGAAGCACCTGCAAGTGATTTAAACATTTTAGTTTTAGTTACATAATATTAAAAAATAAACCTATACTAACAATTCGAGTTAACTTACCAAGCAAATTGTTATTCACGTAAGTGTGCATTTATATGCATCTGATGTCCTATTTATTGCATTGTTAAGAAAACAAATACAATATAAATAACATATGTTGTTGTATTCAAGAATGCTAAGTTAAGCAGAGAAAGTAATTTCCTCATCAGTGCAATCAATCAGCAACGCGAAACACGCACAATTTATATTAATTATAGCTTTCACATCATTACATAAAAAATTAAAACTTTTAAATATTTATAAGCAAGTTTAAAATGCAAGTCAAAGTGAATCTTCACCTTTTCATTTTACGATGCACCCTGGTGGTTGCATTTTGAAAATTAAATTTAAATCAGTCGATAAAAGAGAAGTCATGATATCTATCTCGTAATAATTGTTTGGCGTAAATTTATTTTTACTGTTAAATTTTATTCATTACATATGCAAATTAAATTCATAACAAAGCATAGTTGTATTAATAATTGACATAATAATAAGGTATTTACGTGATGAAATACAGTTCGTAAACTGCTGTATAAGCGACATCTTCTGTTTTTACAATTAAACGTAAATAAAAGAAAAATATTTTATATTCAAATTTTATATAAAGAGTTTTTTATTTTATTGAACAATTACTATAAATTAATCAATGTTTTTGTTGAATTATGCATAATTTACAATGAAACGGAGTAATCCGTTTAGGATTCCCTTTCTACATGCGCAGTAGTTCTATGCCGAGGCACACGGCGTGGGGGAACCATCTTTTCAAAGCGTCGTATTCGTTCACTGTTGTGTGTCGCTTTAGAGCAACGTGATCAGTGGTTTGTAGACGTGATGACGTCAGACTTCGAGGCACAAGCCGAGAGCGCGTTTAAAGCCGAGTAGGGCGTGAAAGTGTGTGTCGTGCCGCTCGTTTTCCTCCTAGTTCGTTTAATCTATTCTATCCACGAATATGTGCAAATAGCAGCGTGTGCCTCCGTAAAGCTACGGGACAATTATGTTCGGTGCTGTTTTAACGTGATTAATAGTGAAAAGGATACGATGTTCCGCTGCATTCCGATTTTTAAAGGGTGTAACAGGCAGGTGGAATACGTTGACAAGCGTCATTGCTCTCTGCTGAGCGTCCCCGACGATATTTTACGATACTCGAGAAGCTTGGAGGAACTGCTGTTGGACGCAAATCACATCAGTGATCTACCGAAGGTAGGCAAATACCGCTACATGCCAACTTTCTGTCTTACAACCGTATCTCTTTTTTTTCCTTTCTTTGCCTCTCCCCTCTTCTCATTTCTCGTTCCCTCTCTCTTCTTTCTATTGTGTCCGTGACGTATCATTCCATCGGATATAATGTAACGACGAAGAACACGCTCCTCGACATAGTCGATGGGGTTGCTTACCGTTATCATTGTTTAACAAGGAATGTAAAAATATTTTCCTTTATTTCCTTTATTATAGAACTTCTTCCGGTTACAAAGGCTACGAAAGCTTGGCCTGAGTGACAATGACATTCATCGTTTGCCACCAGATATTCAGAACTTCGAAAACCTCGTGGAGTTGGATGTATCCAGGAATGGTGAGTGGTGTGCTTTTTATTATTCTCATCGAGTTAAGTTTGCGGTTTCTGTGGCCGGTAACTCGCTAAGGGAAAGACTCGGTCGGGTTTCGTTTCATTAGACGGGAATATTTCGTGAATGCTTTTTCTCTTCGTCTTCCGGTTATCTTTCTTTTTCGTGCATGCTCGGCCAACGCAGCAGCGCCTGTCGACGGCTTCGAACGAAGCACGTGTACCGATGTCAGTGAGAAAGCCAAATGTAATAAATGCCTCTACAAAAGGCATCGAATAAAGAAAGACTCGAGTTAAAAGAGACAGACCATTAACGGAACCTTAGTACGGGTGTTCGACTCGGATAAACCGAGAACAGGCATACTAATGTCAAGTATTAATAAAGGATGTTACCTTCTTGTGGGCAAGTTACCGTTACTGCCGTGCTTTTTTACTTTCTACCGGTCATAGTAAACGGTGTATCTATCCTGATGATCTAACAGGTTGACGTAGAGTTTCTATCATCATACCTCGCTCTTTGTGCGAGTTTCGAGTGTCTTTGAAATTCAAAATGAATTCCGTATTATTTCTATGATAGTAAAGAATTAGTCAAAGATCTACCGTTAGAATTCTACCTTTCCGAGTAGATATGTATCGCAATTGAAAGTATCGAACTTATATCGATCCATCCTTATCGATTGTAATACTAACCAACGATCTATCGAAAGTTTTAATTTTTATAGGACCTAGTAAAAAAATATCGGATATTTTAGTTTTTTTTTTTTTTTTTTGTCTCGATATCTAGTGTCCTGAAATTGAACGATAGACTCGAAGAGACAAAAACACATCTAACAAGCGGGTGTCTCGTTTACTTTCTAACAACGATGCAGTGGCTCGTTGCTCGAAAGGCACGTTGAAACGTTCTTACTCCCGCTTCGAAGTTGTTTCCCAAGAGGGAAGCCTTTCCTTTCTCGCTGTTCGCTGGATTTACTTACCGTTCCACTTTGGCGTTTTTATGTTTACCTTATGCTCGTCCCTCGCCACCCGCGTATACACAGAACTTCGTTACTTCACGTACAGCATGGCTAAGGAGAAGGAATGCATCGTAGAGTCGCGGATGCCTCGTTCTGCCATCGGACCATCCTCTCTCCATACACTGCTGCCTTTCGTTCCGCTGGAACGCTAAATACCTCCGCAACACTTGTATGTACCTAATAGTAGGCGCGCTTCATCGAACATCTCTTAAATTATAATAAAATAATTCGTACCGGAATTATTTTCTCCGATATCCGGAAAGGTGGTGACGAAAGTGCGCGCTATAAATAATTCCCGACGTAATTATTACTTCCTGATATGCGACAGCTATCCTTATCGATAAAAGCGCCGCTCGCATTCTTTCGTGTACGCGCGCGTGACACATGTCCGACTAGTAATTTAGGCTCGTCTGCATGCGAGTGTGTAGTATCTGCGTTCTATACATAGCGTTAAAGCCGTCGCGTAAAATAAAATTTTTCATTCAGCACGCAGGCCAAAACGCATCTCATCTCGATGACCATTTCTCATTCACTCTCGCGGTCTGTTTCTTATTGAATGCACTAACGCGTGTACCTAGAGGAATGCTCGCAGTTAGATGGTTTTCGTTTATCGTAAACCATTTACCCGTGTAACTGTATATCAATAGCAATTACTGAGTATGCATGTTCACAGGTGTTGCTTTATTTTACGTATGTCATACGTTTGCATGTTTTCAATGTTGTATTAGTATCGCGCATGGTAGAATTCGTTAGGGAAGACGGGAGAAAGGAAGAATTTTGAAAATTCTAATTTTCAAGATATCGAATGATGAACTAAAATTTTTGTTTTCTATTCAATTTTATGATATTTAAAATTCAAAGCTATTTTAATTTCGGGTATACTTCCGAAAGGCCCCATCACCCCAGGACAACCAAACTTCGGATTTATAGTAATTGAGGGACGAGAAATCAAATGAGACCATTTTCAAAACTGGCAAATAAACCGTTCTCGAGATATACAGGGTATTCTAAAAGTGCGGAAACCCCCTATTACCTCGATAAGAACGCATTTTCACGGAAAATAACTAACCTAACCTAGGTTAGGGTTAGGGTTAGGTTAGCCATTTTGCGTGGAAATGCGTTCTTATCAAGATAATCGGGGGTTTTCACACTTTTAGAATACCCTGTATATCTCGAGAACGGTTTATTTGCCAATTCTGAAAATGGTCTCATTCGATTTCTCGTCCCTCAATTACTATAAATCCGAAGTTTGGTTGTCCTGGGGTGATGGGGCCTTTCGGAAGCTTCTCCTTAATTTCTTCTAACTTAGAATTTTGAAATTTTCTCTTCCCGCCGTTTTCGCTAGGGAATTCTACCGTGTCTAGCAACCAATAAGCAGGAGTATATTCAAAGCGCTAGTAATAATCAAATCCTGCGTGAAAAAAAAAAAAAAAAAACTACTACGTGGGAATATGTTTAACGAGACGAATCGAGTCAATGGCTTTCATTTTCAACCGAAATAATAAAAAAAATATATATGCCGAACAATGCCGAAGTGTATAATAAACCACGGCGGTATTGTACACCGGTTGAAAATGAATTCTTTTGTTCGCGATGAAAGTCGACGGCCCGAGTTCCAGCCAAGTTAAACGCTCGACCGCTTTTGCCACGCGGTCGTCGTGCGATTTTTCGAAAAACCGAACCAACGACGCTACGTTGCTCGCTGATCTGTGCCTCGTCTTTTTTTTTTTCCCCATTGAATCGATGAAAGTTTCGTCAGTGTCTTTTGTAACGCGGATAAATCACTGTACCGTGAACCGTTCCTATCTATTCTCCTAGTTCTTTCAAAAGTGCAACATTGTTTCTATCTGAACAATGTTGGTAGAAAAAAATTCTTCGTTAACTTAGACTTTTTATTTTTAATTCTGAAGGACATTTGAAAAATGAACACCTGTTAAGTATACATAGATAATACGAAATGTAAACGAGATAAGGTGAAATCTATTATCCAAATTTTACTTGTTTCCTAGCTGACATCACTGTGATACTGATAACAGGTCATCACTCGATTGATAATATTATTATCATACATTTATTGCTTTAAAGGGAATTAATTGGGAATTTTTTAAGGGTACAAAGTATCTTTCGATGAATTTTGTAGGTTTGATTAATCAACATACATTATTTGATAATTAACGCTAAGAAAATTCTGAATTTTGAATAATATTTTCTATTGCGCTGATAAAAGTCGTGGATCCTTCAGTGTTTCTCGGTCGACTCTAACTAGTTTTCAATATCAAAGAAGACGTCTTCCTTCAACGAGAAACTAAACTTTATTGTATAAAGTTGGTAAAACTTTAGCAACGCTCGACAACTACCTGCAGCACAACTCTGCAATCTTATACTGGGAGCATCTTGTTTAAGAATCTTCCAAGGAATTCGTTAGACGAGTATCTCGTTCTGCAATAAAAGTAAATGTTTTGTAAATTCCTCAGAAAAAAGAACGCATCCTCGAGAGGCTTCTGTACATATAATTTTTTCGCTAACCAACCTTCGAATCTAATCGAGTTGATAAAAAAACAACTCGTCACTTTTTCCAGCTAGATACTTTCATTTCCATTTCCCAATGGAGAAACTAAGAAACGACGATCGAGGACACTTTTTCTCTTTTATCATTTTTCTTTCAGACTCGACGAGTTTAACTATTACTTTATTCGTCTCCAGATCCTTATCAAACTTCAATACAGTTATCGTAGTATTGTTTATCGA